GACAGTGGCTTTTTCCCCAGACAAACAGTGACATTAAAAAAAAACCTCCCCAGTGAGTCCGCCTCGAGCATTAATTATGAGCCAGTAACCCGCAGCCTATCGCCTCCGGGAGAGAGAGACAGAGAGAGAGAGAGAACGGGCGGAGAGAGCAAGGGGGGAGATGGAGTGAGACATTCTCTGCTCGTGCTCCGTTTGGATGGTTTGTTGGCCTCGTTATGGGATGTGATGGCTTTGGGTGAGGGGAGGAGGCTTTTAATCCAGATACAGCAGTGGATTGAGCACGGCGCATGATGCTGATGGCGAACTACAGTCTTAAATGCATTATTCGGAGTGCATTATATGATCATGATGATGTTGAAATCATCATCAGCAGCATCAGCTTCATCAGGATAAGCGTCTTCATTGTCGTCGTAAGCAGCAGTAACATTTGGGGGCTGAGAGCCACTGGTGGAAATTCCGCATGCCTATGGCGGGAGTTCCGTCCAACCGAGTTATAGGGAATCTGATAAGAAAAACATTAGGAATGAGGCATCCACAACCAATATGGAAAACGAATCGGACACTTAGGGATGAAAAATCTGCCACCAGAGCAAAGTCACATGAGATGTAGAGATGGCATGCCAATTTGTTAAAACTGTACGTTCAGCAAGACGTTGGGGTTGCCATCAATGGCGAGTTATAAAACGGCAAGCTGTGTCCATGTGTGATGTGAACAGCAGTGGCCAAGTGAATAAAGACAAACCCGGGGGCACATTTTAAAGCATCCCCTGGTCATATTTAATACATACATGCGCTGTGTTTATATTGTCAGCGTGCGATGCTAATCGGGGGGAATCCCACGCAAGGCTCCAACCTCCGATCCGCCGGTGCACGTACGGGAATCGGTTACTAACCGCTCACTAACAACACTAACCCCTTACTAACGCCGCCAGGGACGCGACGCGAAGCGACGGTGACGCTCACTCAACGAGTGTAACGGAGGGTAACGGAGGGTAACGGAGGGTAACGGAGGGTAATCCACCCGCCCCGCAGAAGCAGCGAGGGGGTGGGCATCTCGGATGCCACGCGAGTCACTGTGCAGAGACGAAAGCAAGGCTCCACTTACATCATGGGACCTCCTTTGCCAGTACCAAAATGTGAGAATATCTTTTCCCCCTTTTTTCTGGCAACAAACGAGCTGTGTTAAGATGCTAAAACACCAAACTGAAACCTTTTACAAGGAATCATGTCTGCGTTAACCACAATACTTTTGGTCAGAATGCAAACACCGTTTTGAGACGAGGCTCCAAAGAAAGCTGTCTCTGGTGTGGGCCAATCAGCTTCAAAGACAATGCATCATATTATCAGAGTATGTGTTTTTGTTTGCATTCTGACCACAAGTGTTGTGGTTAATGCAGACGTGATTCCTTGTAAAAGGTTTCAGTTTGGTGTTTTAACATCTTGACACCTGTTTTGTTGCCAGATAAAAGGGGGACACATATTCTCAAGGTTCCACTTTTTGAAACGTTGAAATATTTAATCGTGTTTGAATCTGAGGTTTGAGTTGTTGCTGCTGTTGTTGAGTGTTTTTTTTAAGTGTCGGCCTGGAAGAGAGATCAGAGGCCGTCCTGGAGCCTTGCCACCTCACCGACGGGCGCTGACAAAACGTGGTGAAGTATGGCCCAAAACAAATTCTAGCGGCCGACGCGGTATAGAGGGGGGTGGCTGGGTGGGGGTGGGGGAGGCCTTCGTCCGGCATTGGAGTGCTATTTAAATAAATACAAAGGGACCGTCCACGTGGGTGCTGTGTATGTTACAGCAATACTGCGATTGGCATTAAGGTCGCATAGCCTTCGAGAATGTGATGGGTAGGACTACGTGTGGCAGGGTCGAGGAGCAGGAGGTCACCGGGTCACCAAGACTGGCGTGGCACCCCAGAGGCCAGCAAGCAATGGGGGGGGGGGGGGGGGGGAGACCCAGAACGAAGACGGTGGGTGGGAGTTAGACGATCAGAAAGGACCTCGGAGATGAGTCGTAACCTGTGGACACAGCTGAGGGGAGTGAGCAAGAAGGAAGGGAGCGATGTGGAGGCACGCGCGTGTGCCTGTGTGTATGTTGAACCTCTTTCGCACCGTAGGTAGCCAAACGTGCTAATCGGAGGTGCGTGCGTTTGTGTGTATGTGTGTATGTGTGGTGTCCCATCAATCCCATTGGACATGAAGACTTCTCTCCGTCGTCTCGAGTCAGCTGTTTAATTGCTCAGCGATGCTGGGCCTGGCACCTTCTACCGTCCATCAGTTGAGACGAATCGCAGAGGATGACGTCACGTGCCTTCCATCGCATGCCACGTGTGTCCGCGCGCGCGTCTGCGCGTCCGTCCGTCCGTTTGCACAGCTCGCCACTTTGGGGGAGACAAAGGCGGCCGGCCGCAGTCCTGGCTACGCTCCGCCCCCCCCTCCCACTTTGTCCGCCTCGATAGGTGCTCGCGAACAACACTCGCCCCATCACTCCGTTAAGGGCTGCAAATGGGGACCTTGTGTTCGTAGCTGTGTCCATGTGTCTGTGTTTCCATCCGTGCATGTATGTCCCCGTGAGCGGTAGTGCAGCGGTGAGCGCCACGCTGCGCTACGAACCCGGCGACTCGAGTTCGATTCCCGCTCATGGCCAACACCGGTGACGATCATCTGAACCGGTCCTGGGCCTCTCCTAGGTCGACTCAGCCTCAAATGAGTACCTGGAGCGGTGCGTCAATCATCGCCACCCACCCCCTCGTGTGCCGCGCCGGCCTTCATAGGTGCTTGCTAACAGCACTTGCCCCAACAGTCTGTCTCAGGCTATACGGGGGATCTTTGTATCTGTGTACACACACGCTATATATGCACACCGGCATCAATTGCGCCACACATTTACAGCTCCGTGGCTGCGGGAGGGGGGGGGGCGATCACAAAAACACCAAACTACACGTGCCTAATGGAAAAGAGTCAGAGGCTGCGACAAACAGACCGCCGTAATTAACCGATAAATCAATTCCTTTATTTAGAGAGCAGGTGAGATCCATTATTCCATTGTACCGTCTCTCTCTCGGTGGCGCGCGGGCGCAGGCCACTATCTCTCTCGCCCCCCCCCCCCTTCCACAGCCGCTGCCTCCTCCTCCTGCTCCCCCTTCCCCTCCTGCTCCCCCTTCCCCCGACCTCTCTTCCACTCTTTGTTTTTCGGGAGAGGCCGCGATCGAAGCCGTTTGAATCGGGAGCCGAAATCAGCGCAGCTGCGGTTCTCACACCAGGCAGACCCAGGTCCTCGCCACCACCAAGTTGATCGTGCACGCCAGCGCATCATCCATCGTTGTTGTTGTATGTGGTGCTGCTGCTGTTGTTGTATGTGCTGCTGCTGCTGTTGCTGTTGTTGTATGTGCTGCTGCTGTTGTTGTATGTGGTGCTGCTGTTGTTCTTGTTGTATGTGCTGCTGCTGCTGTTGTATGTGGTGCTGCTGCTGTTGTTGTATGTGCTGCTGCTGCTGTTGTTGTATGTGCTGCTGCTGCTGTTGTTGTATGTGGTGCTGCTGCTGCTGTTGTTGTATGTGATGCTGCTGCTGCTGTTGTTGTATGTGGTGCTGCTGCTGCTGCTGTTGTTGCTGTTTGTTTGCTGCTGCCGCCGCTCTGCGCGCGGAAAGAGTCTGATGCCTCTTAACGAGTTGCCAACAACAGAAGGGGCAATAAACTCTCAACACGTTGGTCAATAAGAACACAACGGCCTTAACAAAACAACTCATATAACAGGCGAAGTTTCAGGAAATGACACTGCTTCATGGCAGGTCATTAAGAAGGGGAAATTCCCGAAACGTCGCCGTTTTATTTATTTGTTTGTTTAAGGCTGCTACTACTGCACACGGTGGCATTGTGGACACGTGTGTTGTTGTTGTTGTTGGCTGCGCTTCCAATTAATTGCACGGATTTCGAGTGACGTGATTATGGTGACAGATGAATAGAAAAGGCTCCTCCTTGCCGCTGTGCATTAAAATACAATCACGGCACAGTGCCGGCGAAGGATATTCGACGAGTGGTTTGCCAATTAGACCAGCCAACCCCGAGTTTGATTCCTGGCCACGGCTAAAAATAGTCTGAACCCCACAGCTTCACCCCCCCCCCTCCGCCCACACTGACCAGCGTGCTGAAGTATGGTCAACAAAAACAGACGCTTAGGAAGACAAAGGCGGCCGTGCCAGATCTTTGCTTTATGGGAGTATTCACTGAGCGGACTCGTCGACCGCTGGTAATGAGTGTTCGTTTTTCAGTTTCAATTAGCGGTGTAATCATTAACTCGTTAGCGACGTCATCATTAACTCGTTAGCGACGTCATCATAACCTCGTTAGCGACGTAATTGCGTGAAGTCCGCCCAGCTTACAGGTCCGAGTGGCGTTCCGCGCGTCATTTGCATATATCCACTAAGGTCAAATTATTCGTCTATTTTTCTGGCTTTTACATATATATGTATTGTTCCAATGTATGTGTTTTTTTAACCCATCATGGTCATCGTCGTCATAATTGCGTGATATTCGTTTATAACTTATGAATTTATTTGTTTTAATGTTTTTGTAATACCCTATTCTCCGGAATATATAAGGCGCGCTGCCCACACCCAATTGTAATCTCAAAAACAAAGCTGGGTATTGAACTTATGTTGGGTACCTGGTACGGTGTGTCGTAACCATCAGCCCTGTGGGAGACAAAGGCGGCCGGGCGTGGTGCTGGCCACCCCCCCCCCCCCCCTCGTGTGCCGTGCCCGCCACTTGCTAACAGCACTTGCCCCAACAGTCTGTTAAAGGCTATACAGGGGATCTTTGTGTGCGCGCGCGTGTGTGTGTGGGGAGCGGTGGTGTAGCGGTTAGCGCGCTGCGCTACGAACCCGGCGACCCGAGTTCGATTCCCGCTCACGGCCAACACCGGTGACGGTTATCAGAACCGGTCCTGGGCCTCCCCTATGTCGACTCAGCCTAAAATGAGTACCTGGTGCGGTGTGTAAACGTCGCCACTGGGGAGACAAAGGCGACCGGGCGTGGTGCTGGCCACCCACCCCCTCGTGTGCCGTGCCGGCCTTCATAGGTGCTACTCGCTAACAGCACTTGCCCCAGCAGCCTGTTGCAGGCTACACTGGAGGGATCTTTTGTGCGCGCGCGAGACCCAGGCTTGTTCAACTTCAATAGACACCCGGGCACGGCAGACGTTTGCGCTGCGTGTGACTTCTCAAGAGCCGCCTCACGTAGCCTGGAGAATACGGTAGCAGTGGCGAACGGTGACGGTTAACGGCCGCCAAGTTGTATTCGTTGCCAGAGCAGCTTCGGTCGTGCCCGACGAGACTGCGTCGATGACCGAAGGGGCCCGCTTCAGAGGCGTCGTGTGGTCCACGCGGCTGGAGGACGCTCACTCCTCTCCCTCGCCCGGGTGACTACCAAGTCCGTGTGTCCAAGGAACACAATTGAAAAGCCAATGATGATCCGCTGTTGTGCGCGTCCAAGGTGCGATACGCCGCTGTATTAACCCACCTAACGTTGTGTGTACGTTATGTAAATGTATAAATGAAGAAAAACAAATCTGAATTCTTTTTTTTTGCTGTCTTGAGTACCGCATTCAGTTCCTGAATAAGCTCTCACCCAGCATGCGGTGGGGGGGGGGCGAAACGTCGGACACCGGGGCCATATCAACACGCGACACCACAACGGAGAGCCGTACACAACAACAGCAACCGCCATTCGCCACTAAGTGGCGGTGACGTCACCACGGCGCTTGTGCCAGGCTAGGTGCACGTGGAGGCCACGTGAAGTGTCTAAAGGTCATACACGTGCACTGACATACACACACAAGCAGAGACGCCCACCCCCCCCCCCCCCCCATATAGCCTTCAACAGACTTTTGAGGCAAGTGCTGTTAGCGAGCACCTTTGAAGGTCATACACGCACACACGGTGACGCATGAAGGGAACGCATAAAGACAAAGCCCCACTCCCCCCCCGGATAGCCTCCAACACAACTCTTGGGGCAAGTGCTGTGAGCGAGTGGCACCTACGTGAAGGGCAACACGGGACACGTAGGGCCGTGTGGGTGGCCAGCACCACACCCGGCCGCCTTTGTCTCCCTAGTGACGAGGTTTACACGTCACACCAGGTACACATTTGAGGCTGAGTCGACCTAGGAGAGGCCCAGCGACCACTTCAGATACTCGCCACTGTTATTGATCGTGAACGGGAATCGAACCCACTTTTCTCGGGTTTGTAGCGCAGTGCCCTAACCACTGCGTCACCGCTCCCCACGTAAGAAAGACAAAGACCCCCCACATAGCTTTAACAGGCTGTTGGGACAAGTTCTGTTAGCGAGTAGCACCCATGAAGGCCGGCACGCCACACGAGGGGGTATGGGTGTCCACCAGCACACCCGCCAGGCCGCCTTTGTCTCCCCTGTGGCGATGTTTACACGCCGCACCAGGTGCTCATTTGAGGCTGAGTCGACCGAGGGGAGATCCAGGGACCGGTTCAGACAATCGCGGAGAGACGCAGAGGCGCGCACGCATTGCGAGTGCCGCTGCAAGTCACGGGACAGAGAACTCGGCCACGCTTACTCAGGGTGAGGGGACACGTTCCGCCAGTGGCCCACGGTGTGCCGAGCTCGCTCCCTCTCGTCTCTCTCTCTCGCCTCTCTCTCTCTATCGTCTCTCCCTCTCTCGTCTCTCTCTCTCTCGTCTCTCTCTCTCTCGTCTCTCTCTCGTCTCTCTCTCTCGTCTCTCTCTATCGTCTCTCTCCCTCTCGTCTCTCTCTCTCTCGTCTCTCTCTCGTCTCTCTCTCTCGTCTCTCTCTCTCGTCTCTCCCTCTCTCGTCTCTCTCTCTCTCGTCTCTCTCTCTCTCGTCTCTCTCTCTCGTCTCTCTCTCTCTCGTCTCCCTCTCGTCTCTCTCTATCGTCTCTCTCTCTCGTCTCTCTCTCGTCTCTCTCCCTCTCGTCTCTCTATCGTCTCTCCCTCTCGTCTCTATCGTCTCTCTCCCTCTCGTCTCTCTCTCTCGTCTCTCTCTCTCGTCTCTCTCTCTCGTCTCTCTCTCTCTCGTCTCTCTTTCTCGTCTCTCTCTCTCTCGTCTCTCTCTCGTCTCTCTCTCTCGTCTCTCTCTCGTCTCTCTCTCTCGTCTCTCTCTATCGTCTCTCTCCCTCTCGTCTCTCTCTCTCTCGTCTCTCTCTCGTCTCTCTCTCTCGTCTCTCTCTCTCGTCTCTCCCTCTCTCGTCTCTCTCTCTCTCGTCTCTCTCTCTCTCGTCTCTCTCTCTCGTCTCTCTCTCTCTCGTCTCCCTCTCGTCTCTCTCTATCGTCTCTCTCTCTCGTCTCTCTCTCGTCTCTCTCCCTCTCGTCTCTCTATCGTCTCTCCCTCTCGTCTCTATCGTCTCTCTCCCTCTCGTCTCTCTCTCTCGTCTCTCTCTCTCGTCTCTCTCTCTCGTCTCTCTTTCTCGTCTCTCTCTCTCTCGTCTCTCTCTCGTCTCTCTCTATCGTCTCTCTCTCGTTTCTCTCTCTATCGTCTCTCTCCCTCTCGTCTGTCTCTATCGTCTCTCTCTCTCTCTCGTCTCTCTCTATCGTCTCTCTCTATCGTCTCTCCCTCTCGTCTCTCCCTCTCGTCTCTCCCCCTCTCGTCTCTCTCTCTCTCGTCTCTCTCTATCGTCTCTCTCTCTCTATCGTCTCTCTCTCTCTATCGTCTCTCTCCCTCTCGTCTCTCTTTATCGTCTCTCTCCCTCTCGTCTCTCTCTATCGTCTCTCTCCCTCTCGTCTCTCTTTATCGTCTCTCTCCCTCTCGTCTCTCTCTATCGTCTCTCTCCCTCTCGTCTCTCTCTATCGTCTCTCTCTATCGTCTCTCCCTCTCGTCTCTCCCTCTCGTCTCTCTCCCTCTTGTCTCTCTCTCTCGTCTCTCTCTATCGTCTCTCTCTCTCTCTATCGTCTCTCTCCCTCTCGTCTCTCTCTATCGTCTCTCTCCCTCTCGTCTCTCTCTATCGTCTCTCTCGCCTCTCGTCTCTCTCTATCGTTCTCTCTATCGTCTCTCCCTCTCGTCTCTCCCTCTCGTCTCTCTATCGTCTCTCTCCCTCTCGTCTCTCTCTATCGTCTCTCTCCCTCTCGTCTCTCTCTCTATCGTCTCTCTCCCTCTCGTCCCTCTCTTATTTTACAATCAGAGGAAACAAGAAGGTGCTCGGTGCAGTCGGCACTTTGGCTCGTTCATCATTTTGGGGCTTTTTTTCAATTCTTTGTTTTATGTGCCCCCCCCCTTCACAAAAGACTTCACTCTCTCTCGCTCTCTCTCGTCGCTCTTCCTTCTCCTCGTCTCCCTCCTCGTCTCCCTCTCTCCATTCTCATCCCCTTGTGCTTGTCTCTCTCCCTCCTCGTCTCGCTCCTTGTCTCGCTCCCACTCCTCCCTCTCTCCCTCCTCATCTCCCTCCTCGTCTCGCGCCCTTTCTCCATTCTCATCCGCTCCCTCTATTCCTCTGTCTCGTCTCATGTCCTCCCACGTCTCCTTTTAATACGATCAGAGGAAACAAGAAGATGCTCGGTGTAGTCAGAACTTTGCTTCGTTCATCATTTCGTTTTTTTGGTTTTTTTCAATGCTATGCTTTAAGTGCCCCTCCCCCCCCCCCCCCCTTTTAAATGAAAGATTTCATAAAAGATGTAACGCTCTGCTCTCCTCCTTCTTACCCCTTCCCTCTCTCTCTCTACCCCCTCTCTCTACCCCCCCTCTCTCTCTACCCCCTTCCTTCTCTCTCTCTACCCCCCCTCTCTACCCCTTCCCTCTCTCTCTACCCCCCCCTCTCTACCCCCTTCCCTCTCTCGCTCGTCTCCCCCCCCCCCCCCTCGCCTTATCTTGGTGCGATTGCGGGGATGAGATTCGGCGCGGCGCGTGAGATGGATTCACGGGGGCCGACGGGGCACGGGTGGAGAAGAGGATGGATGATGCCGCCGGGGGAGATAGGGTGTGCTTGGGGGGGTTGGCGTGGGGGTGCGTGTGTGCTTTAGGGTGGAGCGGTGGCGCAGCGGTTAGCGCACTGCGCTACGAACCCGGCTGTCAGCCGGGTTTAATTCCCACTCACGACCAATCACAGTGGCGAATTATTGAAGCACACACGCGTGCCCCCGCTCCCCCAATCCACCACCACGCGCACTCAACTCGCGCACGTGTCCGCGGCTCGCATGCTAAGTCTCGCACGCGCGCGTTAAGTCCCCATTAGCTTTCTCGTGCGAGCTCCTCTCCCTTATCTCTCTCCTGCTCCCACCACCACCACCACTCCGCTCCTCTCGCCCCCACTTCCACCACCCTCACTCCCCCCTATTGCCGCTGCTCCGCACAAAGTGCCTGCAACTGCCGGCACGGATTCCGCGCTTCGTTGCGCACGTGACAAGTCAATGCGGTGAGAGATGTACTCGGCCGAGTGTGGGGCTGTAGCTACGGCTGCTCGTGGGGGTGGGTTTGTGGTGGGGGGAGGAGGTCTCCTATCTCTCTCCAGCTCGCTTCTCCCGCTCTCCCGCTCTCTCTCTCTCTTTGCCAGCCAGTGTCGAGCGGTGCGGGAGACGGCGGAGTCTGACGGTCGTGCGTAGAACCTCGAGCGGCGAACGAGACGAGGGCAATAAACAGCACGCGCATTTCACATTCACGGCGGCTGCCTTCGCCGGCACCTCGTGGGTTGACACGGACCCGGTGATGCTGCTGCTGGTAGTGATCATCTGCTCGTGGTGGTGATCATCTGCTCGTGGTGGTGGTGATCATCTGCTCGTGGTGGTGATCATCTGTTCGTGGTGGTAGTAGTGGTGTTGATGTGGTAGTGGTGGTGGTTGTGAGTAAGGTGGTGTTGGTGGTGCTGCTGTTGTGGCAGTGGTGGTGGTTGTGAGTAAGGTGGTGGTGGTGGTGCTGTTGTGGTGACGAATATCTGCACCGGTCCTGGGCCTCTGATAGATCGATAGGCACCTTGTGCGGTGTGTAAACATCAGCACTGGGGAGACAAAGGCGGCCAGGTGCGGTGATGCTGACCACCCACACCTCTCGTGTACCGTGCCGGCCTTCATAGGTGCCCGCTAACAGCACTTGCCCCAACAGTCTGTTGAGGCGATACGGGGGATATTTGTGGATGGACGTAACACATGGCGAATGATTGTGGATTCGATAAATGATAAATAATCATGATTAAATATGCAGACAATGTCCCCGCTTTCACACGTGTATATGTATAAAATAAGAGTATTTATTTTTCCACGTCCCATCAGTCACACGTGGGCCCTCTGGGAGAGCATCATTCCCGGAGCGATGGTTTCGTACAAGAACACTCTGGACGGGTTTCGTCATTCAGTGTTTCATCCGTAGAGTCGGGCTTTGCTTGAACCAATGCTGGCGAGCAGCCCAGATGTTTATCGGCAAGGAAACCACCCCACCTCTGATAGACGTGGGTTCTAGTAGCGACGCATAATTGCTTTTTTTGCAGAGCACGTAAGAGCCTCTTAGCGTTAGGCGGCAGAATAATTCGGCAGACAATCGGCCTCCTCGTCTATAAACATCTGGCAAAGCGAGGCTGACACTACTGATGAGACACTGAAAGTCGACACTGGTCCAGACGTTTCCTTGTGTTGAACCACATGATGATGATGATGATGCGTGAAACTGTCCACTCGTACCAAGGTCCGTGTGGCTGATGCGATGTGTCTAGCTTGATTCCAATTGTTTTAATGGGAAGCGACAAATTAATGAAGGAGGAGGCGTCTGCTTCTTGATTGTCTTATATAGTGATTATTTATATTGATAACAACGGTGCTGTTTGATGATGATGATGATGATGTTGATGATGACGATTGACGGATATAATAAATGAAAAATGAATAATAATGCTGCTGTTGGATGGATGTGTTAAGTCAGTTGATGATGATCATAAACCAAAATACCTATCTGATCTCGTTAAGAAGCATAAACCATTAACTTCGGTCATACTCGCAGCGACTTTTGGCTGCTCAGCCATCGAACGAAGATGGTCACCGCATCGCGCGCTTTCAGATGCGCTTCTGCGGCCGTCTGGAACGCTCTTTTTCCGATATTAGGAGGCCACTGGAGCTACGCACTTTTAAATCATCGACATGCAAAATTCATTTATTTAGAATTGCTTTTGTGTGTGTTAGTTTGTTGTCCTTCCCCTGCACCTCTGATTAGCGTGGTTGACTACGTTCAACACGCATACGTACATCACCAACATCATCATCACCATCATCATCAACATCATCACCAACATCATCACCACTTCAAAACTCCAAACGCGCGTGTTCAATTTCTCGTGTTTTTTTTTATTTTGGCACCATCACCATTGCAATCATCGTCAACATCATTTCCATCATCATCATCAACATCGTTCGTCGTCCTCGTCACGGTGATAACTGCGGTGGACTGCGCTGCGACTCGCTGCTTCGTGGACCGGGTCGCGAAGCGCGCTCATCCCAACGAGGACTCCTCCGAATGCGGCGATGGTGACGATGCTGGCGGCGTCTGGCGGATTAAGAAGACAGTTTCTCCTCTCCCTGCTGCTGCTGCTACTGCTGCTTCCCCTGCTGTTGCTGTTGCCGCCGGTGTCGCAACAGGCCATCGCAGCGTGCTCCGTTCACTGCTGCACTCTGCGGATCGACTGCACCTGGCTGGTCTGAGCGTGCGACCCGAACTCGCGGTAGTGGCGGTACTCCCCCGTGTGGCGGTCGCACTCCATGATGTACTGGTACCCGCGGTAGCCTGGATACTGGTAGCAAACCCATCTGGGGGGTGGGTAGGTGGGGGTGGAGCATTCGTGGTTGTTGCGGTGGGAAGGGAGGGGAGGGTGGAGGAAGAGAAGAGGGGGTTACATTCATGTCACGATCATCATTATTTCGTGTTCAGCGGTTAATGTGTCACGCGTTATCTGTTGCAGCAAGCTGCTCGACCAGCCTTGGAGTGAGGGCTTATCTGCGTAAGGTGCTATCGCGAGAATACAAGGCACGCCTATTCATAATAATCCTACATCATTATTTTTTGTAGCCGAGGGTGCTATTATAATTCGACGAACAGGTTTAGAACACAAAATAGCACGCGTCTCTCTGACCAAAAAAACATTCTGATGACTATGGGAGATGATCAAGGACGAGATGACGAGCTTGATCACGGTCGCATCTCGAGCCAGGGATGTCATTTCAGAATATTCGTGAGGTTTCGATTTAAGATGTTAAAACACCAAACTGAAACCTTGTACGAGGATTCATGTCTGCATTAACCACAATACTTGTGGTCGGAATGCAAACAACAAAAAATGTACCCTGATAATAAATGCATTGTTTGAGCCAAAAGACGCCTTTTGGCATCCTCTGGTCTAACACCGTTTGAGACGAGGCTCGAAAGAAAGATGTCTCTAGTGTGGACCAATCAGCTTCAAAGACAATGCATCATATTATCAGAGTATGTTTTTTTTGTTTACATTCTGACCACAAGTATTGTGGTTAATGCAGACATTATTCCTTGTAAAAAGGTTTCAGTTTGGTGTTTTAACATTGTAACACCTGTTTTGTTGCCGGAAAAAAGTGGAAAACCTATTCTCATATTTTAAGTTATTGTTAAATTATTTATGTGCGCGCGAGGTAAATGAGAAGGAATGTGGACGAGAGAGAGAAAGGGGGGAGCGGGCGAGCGGGCGAGCGGGGACTGCCCCGAGTAAGGGAATCAGCTGAGAGGCGCCTTGAATGCATCAGATGTGGACTCGCAAAGGAGGTGGGAGATGGGAGGGGGTGGACGAGCAGATAGGGGAGGAGATGGGAGGGGGGGATGATGAGGAGGCAATGAGTGAGCGATTGTAGTTGATGGCATGGTGTGGAGAGAGAGATATACGGGCACGCAGGTTGAACACAGGCAGAGAGAGAGACACACACACACAGAAGATATAGAGACACACACTGATTGAGAGAGAGAGAAAGATCTATAGAGAGACAGATGTGTGTGTGTGTACAGGGAAAGAGAACAGACAGATCGACGGAAAGAGACAGACAGACGGAGAGAATGGGGTTAGAGGCAGAATGAGAGTGGGAGAGAGACTGAGAGCTAGAGAAATACAGAGAGACAGAGACATATATACAGACACAGAGGCACAGACACACAGAGACACACACAGACGTATAGGGACAGACACAGAGAGTTATGGACACACATAGACATACACAGACACATGCAGACAGGGACACAGACCAGAGCCATTCACACAGACACACACAGACGCATCCAGACAGACAGACCAGAGTCATAGACACAGAGACACGCACACACAGACGCATCCAGACAGAGACACACACAGGCGCATACACAGGCGCAGAGTCATTGACGCACAGGCACATAGAGACGCATACAGACAGAGACACAGACACACACCGAGAGAAGAAGAGAGAGAGAGAGAGAGGCAAATGGAGCCGAGCGTCTGTCTTCTTCTAATAGAATCATAACTTATAGTGACCCCTCTGACTCCCCCCCACCCCGCCCCCCACTGCCCCCCTCCTCCTCTCTCACCCCCCCCCCCCCCCCCCCAAACTCGTGTTCTTGTTTAATGATCCCTGAAGCTGTCGAAGGCCCAAAGTCGGTTTCAGTCTCCAAAAAAAAATCCTCATCGTGATGGTGGAGGGGGGGGGGGTGTGAATTAATCACTTGGGTGGTGGTGGGGTAAACAGAGGGGGAGGGGTGGGTGGGGGGGTGTGACGGTAGCCCCTGGGTTCATGTGGCGATGGAGAGAGAGGCGAGATGATGGGGGCGCGATGATGATGGTGGTGGTGACAGGGATGATGTTCGTGCAGCCTTTATCGGTGATGGCGCTGATGGAGAGCGGCGGCGGTGATGATGACGACGACGGTGAGACGGCGTCGCGCGATATTTGTCGAACGGTTACATTATTTGAACCTTCGCTTTTAGTCATTCTTTTTTGTTTTTCTCTCGCCGATGGCAGCGCGATGTTCAAGGGGGGGGGGGGGGGCTAGATGCTCCAGTGCGGAGGTTCTGACGCTCGCCACGCCGAGAGGGCTTCAGATAGAAAGAAGAGTTCCTAATTCCGAAGTTGAAGGGGCGTACACTATCTCGTGGTTCACCATACTGTGCACGGTTTGGCTTGCTTAGCAATCATCGGGCACGTGCAGTGTGCAGTGGCTTAATTTGTATTTGACTGTAAGTGAACAACAACAAAAAAACCCCGTAAATTACTATTTCATTATCAGGCTATAATTGGAACAAATACAAGCTTTGTTGGCTGGCTGGCGCGCGTGACGTCACCGTGCGCGTCCGTGCGATGACGTCGCCCGCATCCTACAGCCTCGAGCCGCGTCCGTGCGTCGCGCTGACGTCACGCCAGGGGTTGGTGGATCGCACGCAGATGCCGTGAAAGTCCACTCCACGTGGGCATCGAGGAGGCGTAACACCCTGGCTCGCCAGGAGAAGGCGCGTACGTACGGCGAAGTGCGGATGAACCCATCGATCTCTTCCTTCAGTGTGGGATAGAGTGATGCCCCCTCGCACGCGTGGTGGGTTTTGTCCGGGTGCTACGGTTTCTTCCCATTGTGTGGCTGAAAACATCTTCATCTACCGAGGACCGCAGAGCTCGGACTGCCGCCGCTGCCTTCCCCACTCGCCTCTGAGTCGTTCTCTCCCTCTCTCTTTCTCCCTTCGTGAGCGAGCGAATGCACCACAGCGCTGTGCTGTGCGGAGGAGTCGGCGCTTTACAAGTTGGAGCTAAACAACACCCGGAGACACGACGCCCCAGGTCGAGACAGATGCCTCGACTGAAGGCGCTTGGGACGGCCGCTGCGGATCGACGGACGACCCCAGCCGCCGGTCTCAAGAGTCCATCCAGCAGTGGATTGGCGAAGACGGTGTGCGCGTGTAGCAGGTAGGGGGGGGGGTGAACTTACGCTCCGCTCTGAACTTTCATGGAGCCGACCTCGCTGTTGCACCAGCCCATTGACTGCAGAGCCGGGAAGTCATCGCACAGGTCACACGTCCGGCCCAGGAAGTTCTCTCGCTCGAAGATTGAGATCTTGGACTCCTGGTGGTTCTGTGTGAGCGGCGGGAGGAGGAGGAGGAAGAGGAGGAGCGAGTGAGACACACGGGGAGGAGAATGTGACACCGGTAGGGTGGAGTGCGATATGACACAACGAGGAGGGAGCTGCAGGGAGATGCGAGGAGCAGGATGAAGACGCGTGGAGGAGAATGGAGACACGGGGAGCAGGAGGAGGAGGAGAATGGAGGAGGAGGGACGAGGAGGGAGAGACGCGTGGAGATGGAGGGAGAGACGCGTGGAGGACTCACGGCGCACATGATGGGTCGGAAGGACATGAGCCTCTCGGTGTGGTAGGCGAGGTTTCCGCTCCACGCGTCCCAGCGGGGGTAGTCGCCCTTCTCGAGGATGAACTGCTGGCCCTGGTAGCCGCTGTGCTCGTAGCCCACCCACCTGCGAGTCACATTGGGTCAACCTCGTCGTCACATTGGTCAACCTCGTCGTCGTCGACGTCGTCATGGACGTCGTCGAGATTATCGTTCGCGTTGTCTGCGTACGCCGCCGTCGTCATCATCATCGTCATTCATCGCTGTCGTCATCGTCGAGATTATCGTAATAGTTGTCTTCGACGCTATAGTCATCATCATTTTTGTCGACATCGTCAACTTCAAAATGATCGTCTTCGGCGACAGGATCGTCATTGATATTGTCATGATGATGACGATGTTGATGACAATGCTGATGAGAATTTTGATGAGGCTGCTGATGACGATGATGACCATGATGATGGCGGCGATGACGATGATGATGACGATGGTGATGATGATGATGGCGATGGCGACAATGATGACGACGACGATGATGGCGATGATGATGGCGATGACGACGATGACGACGATGATAATGGCGATGACGACAATGATGACGACGACGATGATGGCGATGATGATGATGATGGCGATGACGACGACGATGATGATGGTGATGACGACGATGATGATGTCCTCACGCGCCGCTCTCCACGCGCAGGGAGCGCACGCTCTCGATGCCGCTCTCAAAGACGTTGTGGCAGCCCGAGGTGAACTCCTGCTTCTTGCCCTGCAGGCCCTCCTGGTCCCACACCGTGATCTGCGACACGCGGGACAGGCCCTCACCACTCGCCCACCGCTCGCTCACCGCTCACTCACAGCACACTCACAGCACACTCACCCTCACCACTCGCCCACCGCTCGCTCACCGCTCACTCACAGCACACTCACAGCACACTCACACTTACCACTCGCTCACCGCTTACTCACAACACACTCACCCTCACCACTCGCCCACCGCTCGCTCACCGCTCACCGCTCACTCACAGCACACTCACCCCTCGCTCACCGCTCACTCGCCACACATTCACACTCGCTCACCGGTCGCTCACCGCTCACTCACAGAACACTCGCAGCACACTTACCCTGTAAGTCTATGGGTCTCTATGCGAGTCTGTGCGTCTCTGTGTAAGCCTTTACTCGCAGGTCTCTCTCGAAAATGTGGCTTGATCTCAACGGACTCTTACCTGGCCATACATAGAGGTCGTGTCTATCCGTCTGTCTATCTGTCTGTCTGCCTATCTACGTGTCTGTCTGTCTCTCTGTCTGCCTACATGACTCTCTGTGTCTCAGTCTGTCTATCTCTATGGTTTGTATTTTTGCCCGTCTGTCTTTCTGTCTATCTATCAATCAGTCGCTCTGCCTGTCTACCTGTTACATTGTCTGACTCTGTCCCTCTGTCTCCGTCTGCCTATCCAGCTGTGTGTTTGACGCTATCTCTGTTTGTCTCTCTTACCTTCCAGAAGCCAGAGAAACCAGCAGTGTCCATCTTTTCCATGTCTTCAGCCAACAGGTGAGCGCACTCCTGTGCCACGCGGGGAGGTAACTTCCGATTAGAAATCCGCGGAACCCGGAGACCCGAGTTCGATTCTCGCTCACGGCCAACCAACACCGGTGGCTATTATCTGAACCGGTTCTGGGCCTCCCCTAGGTCGACTCGGCCTCAAATGAGTACCTGGTGCGGTGTGTAAACATCGCCACTAGGGAGACAAAGGCGGCCGGGCGTGCTGCTAGCCACCCACCCCCTCGTGTGCCGTGTCGGCCTTCATAGGTGCTGCTAACAGCACTTGCCCCCAACAGTCTGTTAAGGCTACACGGGAGGGATCTTTGTCTTTGGTAACTTCCGATTAGAAATCCGCGGAAGGTGCGCCATCGGACACGAGGCTTCCGTGTGTTTTACAATTCCATTACTTAATCATTGCTGTTGTTATCACTATCACGGTCATCATCGGTGGTGGAGCGGTGGCATTGTGGTTAGCAACGCTTTAACGGCGAACTGAAAGACGTTGAGTCCCAATTCCCGAAGCAGCGGCTCACGTCAGTGGCGAGTGACACCTGCACCGCCTTCTGGGCTCGCCACATTTCACCAACCCGCACTGACCAGCGTGGTGAAGTATGGTCAAACAAACTCGCACGACCTACGCGGCGTGGTGGGGCGGAGCGCAAGAAGGCCTTCATCCAGCAGTGGATGTAACCGTGGCCAGTGCATTACGATTGCATCGGTAAAATTCGCCACCCTCCCCCCCCCCCCCACCGAACTTTAACCATCAAAACCTCGACTGAGCGTTCGACCGACTCGTGCCCCGGGTACCATTGGATACCCGGAGTCAGAGACGAGTGGGGGGGGGGGGGGTGGGGCAACACTCAGCGTTCCGCACAGATGGGTGCACTAACCCACTTGCTGTACTGCCACTCCCTTTCCACCACCACTTTAAATCCCAGCGTGGGGTTAAGCAACCCCCCCCCCACCCTCCCTCCACCGCTCGCCCCCATCCTCAAAAAAATAAATCTACCGGGCGAAAACCCCAGGGAACCCCAAGAGGGAGCATGTTTAAAATCCGATTTGTCCGGATCGGCGATCCAAACGGCGTTACTGCACCGCAGCCTTCAGCCTCTGCTTCCTTCCCACGTTTAGGGCGACATCGCTACGAATCGGCGTCCCGCTCTCGCCGTGATCTCTGCACAATCCACCAACCCCCATCTCCCAGAGAACCTCCCCCCCACTAACCAATTGAAAAGACCCCCCCCGCGCTTTTTCACACTCCACCAGTCACCCAGGGACGTCTGTTCTATTCCATGCAGCACGTGGTGCTTAGAAAGTCCATTAGTCATGAGGCCAATTAGCGGTGCCTTGGCAACTGGTGGAGGGAATTAAACTTCTCTCTCTCTGTGTGTCCACACGCAACCCACCGCTCGTTGCGAACGGAGGGCTGATGAATGACTGCGAACCCCACGGTACTCACCACACGAAATCACCAAGTGTCGCAGTCCATCCACAGCGGGCCCTGTCATTTATACGTGGACCGGGCTGGGGGTGGGAGGGACTGCGGGCTCGATTTGGAGGCGGCGGCGTCGGCAGGGGGGGAGGGTGGGGGCAGGAGGGGGTGCTGAGAGGAAATTGTGTTGAGTGGTGGTGGTGGTGGTGGTTGACTCCGGCGGCTGATGTTCAATCGGGGCAATGTTGTGGTGATGTGTTGGTGGGAGGGACGGCCGTGTAGGTGGATCAGAAGGTTGGAGGATGGGGTGAGTGGGTGAGTGGATGGGTGGGTGAGTGAGTGGGTGGGTTAGTGAATGGGTGTCTTGAGTGGGTGGGTGAGTGAGTGAGTGGATGCGTGGGTGAGTGGGTGGGTGGGTGAGTGGATGGGTTGGTGAGTGGATGAGTGGGTGGGTGAGTGAGTAGTGAGTGGGTGAGTGAGTGGGTGAGTGGATGGGTAGGTGAGTGAGTGGGAGAGTGGATGGGTGGGTGAGTAGATGGGTGGGTGAGTGGATGGGTAGGTGAGTGAGTGGGTGAGTGGATGGGTGGGTGAGTGGGTGGGTGAGTGGGTGGGTTGGTGAGTGGATGAGTGGGTGAGTGGGTGGGTGAGTGAGTGGATGAGTGGGTGAGTGAGTGGGTGGGTAGGTGAGTGAGTGGGTGAGTGGATGGGTGAGTAAATGGATAGGTGCGAGGGTGAATGCATAGGTGAGTAGATGGATGATTGAGTGGATGTATTAGTGGGTGAGTGAATGGATGGATGGGTGGATGAGTGGATGGGTGGATGATGGGCCGGGGGGGTAGGATGCTCTCATGCGCAGTTCTAATGTTTGCCCAAGCACATACCTGGGCGCTGGACTGGGGGCTAAATGGTATTTGGGGGGGATGAGCGAGTGAATGGCTGCATGAGCACGCTCTGGGAGCGGATGAACAAAGCAAATCTCTTGCTCATCAGGTCGTGATATTCCCCTGGTGCACGCGGGCTGCCCAGGGTTAGGGGGGTGTTTTTTTAGTTTTTAGGGGGGGGGGGTAGTGTGCTGTGAAACGCGACCACAGTTTACACGGGTAGCGACATTGCCAATCATTATTCTTACATCAACTGTGTCCATTCATCAACACAAATCTATGGTATATACCGTATAGAACCATCGAGGGGTGGTCATTCATGTATAACCGTGTCAACTGCCAAAGGCCCCATCAACCACCATCAATTATTTTACTATCGCAATAATCATTGGAGGGTGGGGCGGTGGCACAGTGGTTAGCGCACTCCGCCGTGAAGCCAGCCGCTGGAGTTCGATTCCCGCTCACGGCTCACATCAGTGACAAATAATACTAATAATAACGAAACCGTATGGCCAAACAACCCCCCATAATTAAACACAGTGCGATGAGGTCATGGTCAAGCAGTGGATAGACAGAGGTGGTTTGCAAATCAGTATCAGACGTCGTTATCATTCACGGGCTACATATCCATCATCCAGGAGCCATGGCCAACGTTGTCTTAGATTAGCGGCCTTCCCACCAACCCTCGGAAGCTAAGCAGGATTGAGCCTGGACAGTGCTTGAATGGGCGACCGCCGTGGAGGACTGGGGTGGTGGGCAGCATCTCCGATGAGCACGGTGGGCTACGTACGGTGCGAAAGAAGTTCAACATACGTACAGCAGAGAGCAATGCGGCAGAGTTCAGGGTTGCACTGTATTTCTATTATCCATCGTAACCTCCACTGCCTTTACGGATCCGCAGTGACCAGCGTGGTGAAGTATGGCCAAATGGGCCACACGAGACCCTTATTTAGCAGTGGATTATGCAACTACCCGCTCCGGTCTGAAGAAGGCATTGATTCTTCAGTCGAGCGTGTCATCATTATCATGATCATTATAATAATACACGGTAAGTGATGCTGATTATTCTTAAATGTATCAATTTTCACCATGAATGACGGAATTGGGTTGATTAGACCGCAATCATAACCCGCTCACGTGCTACTGCGAAAAAATGTGGCAGGACCTTCCTGAATATGAGTCACGAGATTCGGTGACACTTTCCTGGGTAACGCAGTCCACTAACAATCGTCATCATCATCATCATCACCCTTATCACCTTCTCGAAGGCGGCCGGCCCGGCGTGGTTCCGGCCACACCACCCCCACGTGTGGCGTTCCGGCCTTGAAAAGGTGCTCGCCGCTCGCTAACACCACTTGCTCCGGTAGTCTCTTGAGGCTATACGGGAGATCTTTGTATCAGAACGAGCATCTTCGTGACCTGGTCCAGATTGGGTTTTAGGGGGATGGCGGGGGGGGCTGTTATAGTTTTTTCGAGTCGGGGGGGGGGGCTTTGTATATTCAATTTGCTTACCCCTGAATATTTCACCACGACCACCACCACTCTTGCCCTATGTCAGACACTCCACGATTTTATTCGCCTGGGGAAATGTGCTGCTGCCTCCGGGCTCTGGAGACGACCTGGAGAAGATTCCAGGCCACGTGTTGACAATGATGGCGAACAAGTGGGAGACTCTTTGACTTGTTGAAGCTATTAACATCACATTTGTTTTCACGTTACAGTGTAGTGTTATCCGTTCTTTGTCCATTTAAAACCATCGTTCCATGTAAGTGTTCACATTCTTTTTTAAGCACCCTGTATATTGTGAACATTGATGTATATAGGTGCGATGAATAAGGGCCATTGCCCGAAACGTCGCAGATTTTTTTTCTTTAATAAGGCCACAGCATTACTGGCTACTTGTGATCGCTTACCATTTCACTGTAGGGTTCATGAGTGCGAAGGTATTGAGGGATTACGCTTGATCCACTACCAAGTCCAATGTTTTATTGGGGAGGGGAGGGCGGCAGAGAGTGGTGGAATGGGGGGCTCTCAATTTGTCAGGCCTTGGACTGCACCCCCCACCGCCCCCCCCCCATAAAGCCCCCCGCGTTATTGCGACCCCACACTCTCCTATAGGCCAGGATCACGGTCAACACGAGATTGTGTGATGACCATCACCACTGACGTGTTTCTCAACGCGTTCGCGACATCACAAAGACAAGGATCGCCCCGTGTAGCCTGAACAGACTGTAGGAGCAAGTGCTGTTAGCGAGCACCTATGAAGGCCGGAACGGCACACGAGGGGGTGGGTGGCCAGCACCACGCCCGACCGCCTTTGTCTCCCCCAGTGGCGATGTTTACACACCGCACCAGGTACTCATTTGAGGCTGAGTCGAACTTAACACACACAACAACAACCGTCATTCGCCACTAAGTGGCGGTGACATCACCACGACGCTTGTGCCAGGCCATGTGCACCTTGAGGCCACGTGAAGCGTCGAACGCCCGCTGGCAGGAGGTCACGGGGCAGACCCAGGTGCCACGGGTCGACTGACTGAGATGACTGGCTGATGCACCACCTGTGCCCCCTACTGTGCCAACCTGCTGTGCTTTAGCCACCCGGCGCTCCGCTCGCCACACACTACACACACCACGCAATGTCATTTCGCAGAGGGCTTTCACGTTGCCTCCATAACGACAACAACAATAGCCTCTGACAATGGCGCGAGGGAGAACGTTCGCGCGTTAGAAACGTTGCCTGCGATATGCTCGGCGGATATCAATTCGTGTATCTGCCCACCAGCCCAACTCGTGTCAGCGCGCTCACAGAATTACAACGACATCACAAACAACCACAAGCGGCACTGACACAGCACTAAAAGAGCTGGTGATTACATTAAGTTCGTTCATTTGTTGCAGTTTTTTGTGTTCTATATTTTTTTGCCCCTCCCCCCCCCTCTCTCTCTCTGTCTCTGTGTGTGTCTGTGTCTGGTCATCATCTCTCGCTCTCTTTTTGTATTCACAAACTACGCGTTTCCATTCGCCGCGAGTCAAGCGAGAGAAATGATCAGCATCAGCATCATCATCACCACCACACGGGATTAGGCGATTCGCGCCGACTCAGCGCCACGCCGAGGGGGAGGAGACTGGCCGCTCGTTTTTGGTTCATCACGAAGTGGGGGGGGGGGGGGGGGGTGGGTGGGGGAATTCGCTGATGATGGGGGTCTACACACGAGCATAAAACCACCGCCTCTCCTCCACCAGAAGCCACCCACGCCGACATCCCGACTTGTGACTCGAACCGCCTCTCGTCGCTTACCAATGGAGTGAGTCGGTCGAACGCACTCACAACTCGTTCTGCGTGCAGATGTCTCCTCCCGTCCCAGCGAGGAACCCCCTCCAACCACCTCCACCCCACCGCGCCAAGCTGAGCCGACGACCGAGGGGGCACGCAGCGTTTGCCCCGTCGAGCCGATGTGAAATTACTCGTAGCGGTGGCGGAGTTCGATTGGAACTTTTGGTGTTGTTGGTGTTGTGGCGTGGGAGAAGAGTGTTCGGGGAACTCGCTTGGCGCAGCGGGCCGCGCACCGCTGCGTACCGGTCTCGGGCCTCCCCTAGGTCGACTCGGCGTTAAAAACTAGTGTTTTGGTGCGACGTGTAAATTATCGGCACTGCGGGTGTCAAAACGACGGCTGGACTTGGTGCTGGCCACACCGCACGCCTCGCGTGCGGTGTGGCCTTAATAGGTGCTCGCTAACAGCGCTTGCCCCAACAGCCCGTGAAGGCTGTACGGGGGTTCTTTGTCTTTGACCTTAACCCTCTGAGTGAAATAATGTACCTCGAAACCGTGAATTCTGGGGGGGGGGGGGGGTTCAAGGTTCGAAAGTTTAGTGTCTCGGATGTTTATAGCCACCTGCATGGACTCTCAAATATTCTAGAGCGGTGGTTCTTAGCCTGGCGTGCACGCACCCCCCTGGGGAAGCGAGATGACCTCTCTGGGCATGCGAGACAAACCGGATTGTTTGTTTTTAAGAAGGTAACCCACAGAAACGCGAATTCAGCACGGGCACGTAAGTCACAACTACTTTGTGCCATCAAACCTACGTGTTTGTTAACACATTCGAAATTTTATTTTTATGTTTATTGAAAGCTTTCGTGACTGCAGGGATTCATATTCTTGGTTCTTTCGGTAAAGTCACGGGTTTTTTTTGTTTGTTTACGATTGGGAACCAAAGTTGGGTGCAAGGCTGCAGAAAAGTTCTCAGAACCGCTGTCTCTCGAGTACCGCTGAGGGTTGACTCGAGTCTCTCGGTCACGATCGGCTCACGTTGCATTCCACGGTCACCGCTCTGCCACTCGCGGAGGACGGCGAATTCAAACCACGCGCTCGTCAACTAAAAGGGGTGTAGCGTGGACTTGGCAGGAAAGCGAGGATGTAATCGGCGACGTTTCGGGCAACGGGCCCTTCTCCACAGGATGGCTCAGAAGGCGACTCAACCCCAGGGCACTGCTCATGAAGGAAGCCACCCAACCACCGGTGGATTCAAGGTACGCAACTCGCGCCGTGGTCTATCCACTGCTAGATGATGCACCGCGGTTATCGTCATCTCCGGCGCATTCGCATCGTCGTCATGAACGCGATACATCTAAAATCACCATCACGAACCCGACAAACTTACCATCATCATCACCAGCCCTATATACAGCTATCATTATCATCATCATCACAAACCCTATACAGCTATCACCGTCATCATCATTACGAGCCCTATACAGCTACCATGATCATCATGAACCCTATACAGCTACCATAATCAACACCATCTTCATGATGAGCCCTATACATCTACCATCACCGCTACCACCATCGTCGCTGACGAGCTCTGCACCCCCGGTCACTGCCACCCCCCCCCCCCCCACCCTTTCTCCCCGTGGCTCCGCGTGGCCCCGCGAGCAGCTGGTCATCTTCGAGCTGGAGAACTTCCAGGGCCGACGCCTCGAGTTCACCGCCGAGTGCAGGAACGTGTGCGAGCGCGGCTTCGAGCGCGTGGGCTCCATCCGCGTCGACACCGGCCCGTGAGACACACACACACATACAACAACAACCGCCATTCGCCACTAAGTGGCGGTGACGTTACCACGACACACAGACACACACACAGACACACACACACACAGACACACACACACGCGTGGGGGTGAGGGGGTCTCATCACGCGGGCACCACCGGGGTTCTCTCGGGGGTAGAGGGGTAGCGGGGGGGGGGGGGTGATGGGTGGTGGGTTTCTCGGGGGTCTGTTGCATGCCGGGGGAGAGTGGGGAGGGGTCTTTCGTGGTCTCATCGGAGTGGGGGGGGGGATCTATGGGGGTCTCTCTGCGTCTCTCTGAGGGGGGGGGGGGAAGGGGGAGGGCTTGCCTTGGAGTTTACTTGGGGGATCGCGGGATCTCTGTGTCACAGTGTCTTTGCCGTGGCTTGCTCGATCTCTCGGGGGTCTCTCGGGGTGTCTCTCTCTTCGTGTCCCCCCCCCCCGTGACTCTGTGTGTGTCTCTCTATCGTCCTGGTTTCTCTCGGTGTCTCCGTGCTGCGCTCGTGTTATCCGTGTCCATCGGAATCTCCACTTCTCTCGGTTGCTCCATCTCGCCGCGTGCCTCTGCGCTCCCTCGGGATCTCGGCGTCTCTAGGAGTCTCCCTTCGCCTATGCCCGGCACCTCTGAATGCCTCTCGGCGTCCCTGGAATCCCTGTCAATATTCGCTGAGCGAGATCTCCCACCCTCTCTCCACACCCACCCACTTCCTCCCTACTCCATCCGTTCAGCGGTGTGGTCTTCGTATGGCTTGTGTGACGTCAGATGCGACACACACACACAGAGAGAGAGAAACCCACAATTTCAATGTTTTATTGAGCGACGCAACTTAATATCGCGTAAGATAATGGACGGCCAGAGTCCCGGCAGTAATAAACCCTCTGATATGAGCTCACAGCTATTTCTGCAGCGAGCTCTTTAATGTAGTGAGGCGAACGCTGCCTGGACCCAACACTAAACGCGTTTTGCTTTCGGTTCAGTGACCACCGCGTGCCCTCTCTCTGTCCCCCCCCCTTCCCCACCATTACAGCCCTGCCCGCCTTGTTGTGTTGGCGGTGATGATAGACTAACAAGGCGGCGTGCCAGCGCATTGCGTGAGCCTCGGCTGTTGCTTTAGTAGTTAACGCGCGGGCCAACAGGGAACGCAGCCTAAATGTAACACGTAGATGGATAGACATAAATTATCATGTGCGTGAGCAAACAAATGCATAGCAGAGACGTTCTCCAGAGTATCAAAGTGCCAATTTTGTGCCGCGATTGACGCAGAGTTGGCCAACTTGGTGGCGAAGTTGTGCCGTGCAAATTCGCGGCGATTGGTTTCAGGTGTGTTGCGAACAACAACAGCAGCAGCAACAACAACAAATATGGCCCAAAAATTGTTTGAAGAGTGTCGAGCGTAGAGATCCACAGGCAGACAGAAGGATAATAATTTACCGGCCACGAAAATAATAATTCTATAGCGGCTCTCTTTAAACATATATATGCATTTTTTAAAATATATAATGCCGCTCTGTGCCTCCTCGCTAAGCTGTGTGTGCTGGGGGCAGTCGGAGACGAGTTTGATGCTTCGTTAATTTAAGAAGAAGAAAAAATACTTAAAAAGTGAGTCTGAGGACCGCTCTCTATGTCTGTAATTAAATCTACGATTGTCACCTGAGTGTCCAGCACGAAAAGTCTGGGAGGCTAATGTAAAATAGTTATTCACAATTGTGTTTTAGAACGCCACTGCGCCCTACCTCTCTCTGGCCCCTCTCTCTACGTGTGCTGTGACGAAGGGCCGTTGTCTGAAACGTCGCCTGTCATATATTTATTTAGGTTAAGGGCACAGTAGTATTATTATTGACGAACGTTTTGAGTGTTGTTGTTATTTATTATAAGTATGGTGGTGCCATCACTGCCAACGCAGCCGCAGCAGCAGCACCAAAGAATTTGTTGGAACAATTTAGATGATTTAAAATCGTCAGCAATATTAAGATGAAATCCACGAGACAGATAGATAGGTAGATGCAAGGACGTTAATAGAACGCGTGGCGTAGATTCATCCCTGTAAATCTGTAATCCGGGTCCGCGAAATCTGATCCCAAACTGTCGTTAATTAAATAATACACTAAACTATCAATTAACTAATTTGCTTGTTTAAGATTTTCTTCATTAATTGAAGTAGCCAAACATCCCAATGTAGCAGGAACCCTTCTGAAAACATAGTCTTTTATTTCCCCGGCAGATTAAAGAACTCGAATTACGTATCGTTATTGTGATTGATGTTACGAACTCGTAGTATTATTGTGAGTAGTATTCCTAGTATTTATCGCGCGTTAAGTTTTATTATTTTATCGCCCGCAAATCCGTCTCGACAGCGCGTCGTAAATTGTGGCGCAATTTTTTTTTCAGAAATCCGGGTCCGCTTGCCACGCGCGCGGCCTGTGAATGATCTGGCGAGCGCGGCGCTGGGAGGAAAATCGCCCGCCGGTCCGAGCCACTAAATCTGCGTGGGGTCGCTGTCCGCGGTGCTGAATGGGATGGATGGGGGGTGGGGGAGAGAGGCAGTCTGCTTGCGCCTTGTCTATATGCAGGGCCACTCCCGAGCAAACGAGCCTCGTCTCGCGACACTTGTGCCCGCATAAGGAGATCCGCGGAAGTCGCGCGACTTCCGCGGGTTTATCTTGATCAATTCGTCGATTTATTTAAAAAATATATATTTTTGTTTTAGCCGCCGCTTGTGCTACTGGTACAGATGAGGAGCGGCAGTGTAGCGCTCGGGCGTTGCGCTGCGCTACGAACCTGGCGGACCCGAGTTCTATTCCCGCTCACGGCCACCAACACCCAGTGTCAATTCTCTGAACTGGCCCTGGGCCTCCCCTAGGTTGTCTCAGCATCAAATGAGTACCTGGTGCGGTGTGTAAACATTAGCGCTGGTAAAGACAAAGGCGGCCGGGCGTGGTTCTGGCCACACCACCACCCCCTCGTGTGCAGTGTTGGCACTACTCGCTAACACCACTCGCCCCACACTTCTGTCAAAGCTATAACGTGGGTGGGGGGGGGGTCATCTTTGGCGACGCTTCCACGGATTTCTTCCGCCGCGCGTGCAGATGGGTCGCCTACGAGCAGCAGAACTGCCGCGGGGAGATGTTCGTGCTGGAGAAGGGCGAGTTCCCCCGGTGGGACTCGTGGTCCAACAGCTACCGCAGCGACCGCCTGATGTCCTTCCGACCCCTCAAAATGGTAACGTCCCCTGCAATCCCTTCCCCGGCGGGGGATTGGGGGTTCATAACGGGGGTGGGTCCCATGAAGGGGTTCAGTGGTGTAGTAGCTACATTATCCGCTCAGGGGGTGCTGTAATTGGTCAAGTTGGGGCGCCCAATGTTGTGATTTGTGTCGCAAGGTCGCACCCAGAGGCCATTGCATTTCGCGGGTCTTCTTGCCTTGATCACATCGTTACATGCGTCGTGTTGTTGTTGTTCTTTGACACTGTTGTTGTTGTTGTTGAAAACAATTCTCATGGCGGTTGTCAAGAGGGGCCCCGACTTGTAGCTTGGGTTACCGGGGGGGATGGGGGGGGGCAAGGCACCCCCACGTTAGTATCGCGACTGGATCTACGGATGAAATGCGCCTCACCAATGTAGATTGTTATTATTGACGATGCTGTTATTATAATGGTTGTGTGGAATACAATTGGATACTTAACAACAACAAAAAAACCCCACTCATGTCCGCACAGATGGGTGCACAAACCCACTTGCTGTACCGCCCCGCCCACCCTTAACCGCGGTAGCCCACCGGGGGAGGGGGGGGGGCGGTGACGGTACTCTCGATGTGATTCACCAACCCTCGCCTACAAACACGCCGGTTAAAATGTCATCCGCTGCCACTTTACTCTCGCGCCCCGAGAGGCGAAGACCCCCCCAAAAAAACCCTCGCCGTGCTGCGTGACACGGCCAAGGGTACGCTGGAGGAAGGTCAAGGCGTGCGGGGGGGGGGTTGGGGGGTTGGATGTTTAGTGTCATCTGGGTGAAGAGGGGATTAGGTGAGCGTCGAGCCATGCGTGCCCATAGAGAGCCGTCCATTGGAGCCGATCAACAACAAATGTAGCGGACAGAATTCTTTTTTAAAAAGACCTTTGACAGCGAGCACATATGAAGGCCGCCACAGCACACGATGATGTGTGCTACACACCGTCGCCCGGTAGACACATTTTAGGCCGAGCTGACCTAGGCGAGGCCCGGGACTGGTTCAGATAATCGTCACTGGTGTTGGCCGTGAGCACACACAACGACGACCACCACCACAACAACAACAACCGCCGTTCGCCACTAAGTGGCTCGCTGCTCGACAGGTCACGGGACAGGCCCCAGGTGCCATGCGTTGACTGACTGAGACGAATGGAAATATGCACCAAAGACACCAAAAAGATCCCCGGTATAGCCTGTAACAGACTGTAGGGGCAAATGCTGTTAGCGAGCACCTAGAAAGGCCGGCACGGCACACGAGGGGGTGGGTGGGCAACACCACGCCCGGCCGCCTTTGTCTCCCTAGCGGCGTGTGCCGTGCTGGCTTTCATATTGTGCTACTCGCTAACATCACTTGCCCCAACAGTCCGTTAAGGCTATGCGGGGGATCTTTGTCTTTGTTGTGACACAGCGTGGCGGTAACACACCCACGCACGCGCACGCGTGGGTGTCTGCTGCTGCTGCGCGGAGCGACTAGAGGGATGGGTTGGGGTCAGGATTAGTAAATATGTCTGTGCCTCCTCGCTACGTCCAGACAGCGTCTACATTGAAACGTGACATATACGCGCCAGAGTTCAAGCGTTTGGTGGGCGCAGTGGTTAGCGCACTGCCTTCACGCGCCAGAATATTTTTTTTAAATGAGTTTGATACCCTGGGCCATGAGGCGAAACAATCGAGGTTAAACAAACAATCGATGAATCAGTCGATTATTGATAGAGTGAAATTCCTCCTTGGATAGTAATCAATACACCCCTCTTCCCCCGCCACCACCCCCCGCAATCGATTCCCTCTCCCCGTCTCATTCTCCCCGTCTCGTTTCTATTGTTTCCACCCCTCCATCTCGCTCCTACTCCATCCCTCCATCGCTCCATCATCATCCTCCTCCTCCACCCCTACTTCCACACACCCGGACCCACCGCCACATCTGCTCCCACCATCTCTCCATTCCTCTCCTCCCCTCCTCCTCCATCATCCTCATCCTCCACCACATCTGCTCCCACTATTCCACGACTCCCGCAGGAGAACCAAGACCACAAGATCTCGCTGTTCGAGAATCCCGACTTCACGGGCCGTAAGATGGAGATCACGGAGAATGATGTGCCCAGCCTCTGGGCCTACGGCTTCCAGGACCGCGTGGCCAGCATCAAGGTGGCTGGCGGGACGTGAGTACCTCCACCTGCAGCAAACAAAGATCCACCGTGCGCTGTTCGCGAGCGCCTATGAAGGCCGGCAACACACGAGGAGGGTGGAGTGGCCAGCACCGCGCCCGGCCGCTTTTGTCTCTCCCCAGTGGCGATGTTTACTACACACCACACCAGGTGCTCATTTGAGGCTGATTCGATCTAGGTGGGGCCCAGGACCGGTTCAGATAATAGTGACTGGTGGTGGCCGCTACACTACCACGCCCCGTCCACACACACGCACGTGTCTGTGTGTCTATACCTACGGAGTGTAACAACCCTTTGCAAATCCACTGCTGGATGAGGGCCTCCTCATGCCTTCCCCGCACTTAAATGCAATGCATCCCTGCACATTGCAGCATTACCTGTCTGTGCAGAGATTTTCAGTTGTCTAATATCTGTTCCTCTGATCCCCCCCCCCCCCCACCTCATCTCCCTCCCTTCTCACTCCACCCTCCCATTGTCTTCCGTTATCGCTCCCTTACTCCCTCCCCTTCCCGTCCATTGTCTCCCCCCCCCCTTCCTCTCTTCTCTTTCATCTTCCTCCCTCCCCCCACACCTCCCTCCACACCCATTTCCCCCTCCCTTACATTGTCGTCTTCCACCAACCCTCCCGTCCCCTTCCTCTCCCTCTCTCGCATCATCATCATCATCATCTCCCTCCCTCATCCCTCACTTCCATCTCCCGTCATCATCATCATCTCTCTCCCTCCATCTCTCCCATCATCATTTCTCCCTCCCTCCCATCTCTCCCACCATCATCATCTCCCTCCCTCCCTCCCATCATCATCATCTCTCTCACTCCCTCCCATCTCTCCCACCATCACCATCACCATCACCTCTCTCTCCCTCCCCCCCCCAATCTCTCCCACCATCACCACCATCATCTCTCTCTCTCGCCGGGCTCGGGGCGCCTCTAGGTGGGTGGGTTACCAGTACCCCGGTTACCGTGGCTACCAGTTCGTCTTCGAGCGCTGCGATTTCCGCCACTTCAACGAGTGGGGCGCGCAGCAGCCGCAGATCCAATCGGTGCGCCGCGTGCGCGACCAGCAGTGGCATCCCCGGAGCCGCTTCACCTTCTCCAAGTGACGGCGCCGCGGCGGGCATGAGGACCACGACGAAGACGACTACGACCCCAGCTCCCCTAACACCTCGCAGACCGCCCAGACCGATCCACCCTCCACCTCCCCCCCCCCACCCCAAACCCGATCTTGACCTCGTGTCTCCACGTGGAGACGTGCAAAATTGCACTCAAGTACGATTAATCATCTCGAGCCACGTGGTTACTCTGTCCTCTCTTCTTGCATCTCTTCCTCAAGGGCGGGGGGAGGGGGGGGCTTTCTCTGCTCTTCGCGACCCTGCCACCTCTGAGATTATTTTCCCTGGACCGTGTGGGCCCTCACACCTCAACACTTATTTTTTTTTTCCTGGGCCCTCTCCGATCATCTCTAACCTCATGGGTCCTTAATCGCCCCCTCCACCCATCACCACGACTATCCACAACCTTCTCTGACTGGAGGGTGGGTCTGCTGGCAGTACTATTAATTCAATAAATCAAAGACTACTTTATTCATTGAATCGCTTCGTGTCGGTGTCTTCATTCAATCGGAGCGAGGAGGGTGCGACCAGTGAGTGTGCTGTGAACGACACGACGGAGGTGGATGCGCGCGTTGCCCTAAGAACCCGGCGACCCGGGTTCGATTACCGCTCACGTCGACGCCAATTGCCAATATCTGCACCGGTCCTGGGCCTCCCTTAGGTCGACTCAGCCTAAAATGAGTACCTGGTGCGGTGTAAAATCATCGCCACTGGGGAGACAAAGGCGGCTGGGGCGTAGTGTTGGCCACCCACCCCCTCGTGTGCCGTGCCGGCCTGCATAGGTGCTCGCTAACAGCACTTGCCCCAACAGTCTGTTGAGGTTATAGTGGGGGGATTTTTGTCTTTGTATATATATACACCAATGTGGAGCGGTAGTGTAGCGGTTAACGCGCTGCGCTATGAACCCGGCGACCCGAGTTCAATTCCCCGCTCACGGCCAACACCGGTGACGATTATCTGAACCGGTCATGGGCCTCCCCTAGGTCGACTCAGCCTTAAATGAGTACCTGGTGCGGTGTGTAAACATCGCCACTGGGGAGACACGGACGGCCGGGGCGTAGTACTGGCCGCCCTCGTGTACCATGCCGGCCTGTATAGGTGCTCGCTAACAGCACTTGCCCCAACAGTCTGTTTTACGGGGGATCTTTGTCTTTGATCACGGTGGGGGTAATAGCACGTGCGTGTGTGTGTGTGCCCACGGGCTGTTTCGTCGTGCACGATTTCACCGACAGCCGCTTGCACCTTGAAGCAGTGGAGAGGCATCAACAGTGCCTCTCGAATCTCACGCGTCGTGCGCGCGCGCGTGCTTGTGTGTGCGCGCGCGTGTGTGAGTGTGTGGGGAGCGGTGGTGCAGCGGTTAGCGCGCTGCGCTACGAAACCCGGCCACCCGAGTTCGATTCCCGCTCACGGCCAACACCGATGACGATTGATCTGAACCGGTCCCTAGGCCTCGCCTAGGTTGACTCAGCCTCAAATGAGTACTTGGTGGCCGGGTGTGGTGTTGGCCACCCACCCCCTCGTGTGCCGTGCGGGCCTTCATAGGTGCTCGCTAACAGCACTTGCCCCAACAGTCTTTTTGGGCAACGGTAGTGTCGCGGTTAGCGCGATGCGCTACGAACACGGCAGCTCTGGTTCCTATTGACCAATGATATGCAGTAAGTAAACATCGCCAAAAGGGAGACAAAGGCGGCCGAGCATGCGTGGAGTCGGCCACCCACCCCTTCGCGTGGTCGAGCCGCCTTTCGCTGACAGCACTTGCCCCAAACAGTCTGCGGAGGCTGCACGGGGTGGCTGTGCTCTAATAACCACAAATATATACTCAGTATATAAAACCAATCACGTCCAATTCCTCACGCTGCATCTTCGCGCACTTAGCTCCTCGCCAGCATCATGCATCACGCGCTAATTATATCCATTAAAGGCAGCAGAAGAGCAGCCACAGAGGCACGTGACCAGCCCACTGACTCACTCGACAACGGAGAGGAGCGGCGTTCGTTCAATCAGCCGATGGGGGTGGTGGGGGTGGTGGTGGTGGGAGGGGGGGCTAGCTGCGTGGATTGCAAAACTCCCGGAGCCACTCGTGATGAGTGAGCCTCTTGATGCCACTGTGTTATCAGCTTCATCACTCGCATTATTATCTGCATCATTATTATCATGTTGTTCCCTCTCTTTTTCTCTTTCTCTCCCTCTCCCTCTCTGCCATCTCTCGAGATTAATATTACGATCAATTTACGGGCTCCGAGCGCACACGTGGTCACGCGCTAGCAAGCGTGTAATTGTATAATTACCGTGTTAGCAATTAAGGATCTGAACCCTCCCCTCCGCCCCGTCCCCTCTCCCACCGCCGCTACTCACCGCACGTAAAAAAGACAAAGATCCCCCGTATAACCTGAACAGACTGTCGGGGTAAGTGCTGTTAGCGAGCACCGATGAAGGCCGGCACGGCACACGAGGGTGTGGGTGGCCAACACCACGCCCGGCCACCTTTGTCTCCCCGGTGGCGATGTTCACACACCGCACCAGGTACTCATTTGAGGCTGAGTCGACCTCGGGAAGGCTCGGGATCGGTCCAGATATTCGCCACTGATGTTGGCCATGCGGCGAGACTTAAACTCGAGACGTCGGGTTCGCAGACGCGATGCGTTAACCACTGCACCACCGCTTCTCCGCATCAACAACAACAACAACAACAAAAAGAGCCGCCGTTCTTCGCCAGTGAGTGGTGCTCGTGCCAGGCTAGGTGCACTGAGGCCATCGCATGAAGTTTGGAAGGCCCTCTGACAGGAGGTCACGGGGCCGACCCACCCAGGCGTGATGGGTTGACCGCCCGAGGTGAGTGGCAGATGCACCCCGTGTGCTCCCCACGATGCCCAACCCAACCTGCACTTACGCACGCAATGCAGCTGAAGTTTTTGTGTCGTGATGGCAATGGATCACCAGGAAGTACGAATGGCACGAAACGTCTAGAAAATCTACACCCTCGGTCACTCGCTCGCACGCACAGATGATGGCGTGGTTCATCAAAAGACGCAGGGCCGCAGTGGCGGTGATGATATTTTCGCCTGACTCCCAACACGTCGTTTAAATAAAGATTGACCCGAAAATTGGAATCACTCACCGCCGCTGCTGTGTTTGGTAATTGAGTGGTCGGGCGGGCGGGCATGTGTGCATGTGACCAGGGTTGGATTTCCAGCTCACGGCCAACATCAGTAAGTGACTCTACCCTGGTACGGGCTGTAAACATCACCGCCGGGGAGACAAATGCGGCTGGGCGTGGTGGTGCTAGCCACCCAAGCCCCTCGTGCGCCCTTCCGACCTCTATGTATGTGTGTTGAACTTCTTTCGCGCCGTACGTGGCCAACCGTGGTCATCGGAGGTGCCACTCGCTGACAGCACTTGCCCCCTCAAAAAGCCCGTCGAGGCTATACGGGAGGTCTTTGTCTTTGGTTGGGGTGTGATGGTGGTGGATGGTGGTTGTGTGTGGTTGTGTGTGGTGGAGGGTGGTGGAGGGTGATGGAGGGTGGTTGTGTGTGGTGGAGGGTGGTTGTGTGTGGTTGTATGTGGTGGAGGGTGGTGGAGGGTGATGGAGGGTGGTTGTGTGTGGTTGTGTGTGGTGGAGGGTGGTTGTGTGTGGTTGTATGTGGTGGAGGGTGGTGGAGTGTGATGGAGGGTGGTTGTGTGTGGTTGTGTGTGGTGGAGGGTGGTTGTGTGTGGTTGTGTGTGGTGGAGGGTGGTTGTGTGTGGTTGTGTGTGGTGGAGGATGGTGGAGGGTGGTTGTGGGTTGTGGTGTACAGGGTGGCCACAACGTCTCTTTGCATGATGTGGGCTCCAGCCCATTGTGTCCTCGCCAATTGGGATTTGTTTACGCAATCAGCAATGAGGCGAGCGATGAGACAATATGATGATGTGGCCCATCCGAAGCCCAGACCTGACGACAACAAAAGTAACGTTGTGAAAATAATTCCCCATTTTTTAGCACCGACAATACTTCGCATTTTAAGATTGACAGGGCTATGAACTCGAGACAGCTGCGAGGAACTACTTTCGCAGTACGCAGCCGCATCACCCACTTGGAAGGATCGACACTGCGAGGACGACGTAGGCACTACTGCAGCTGGGCGCTGAGAACGGAGGGCAGCACACGCGGAGTTGTTCGACACGAGGTGCGTTGTTTTTGCTTTTCACGCAAAGGGACTTCTCTGGAGGATGTGGTATGGGCGGGGGTAGTGGCCAGGGTGCTCGGCTATGATTTATAGCGCGTGCGTGAATAGGGACCGCGTGCTTCTGTCAATCCATTGAGGAACCCCTCCCCCTCCCTCGCTCCCCCTCTCCCTCGCTCCCCCTCTCCCTCGCTCCCCCACCCCCTCCCTCGCCTCCCCTCCCTCGCTCCCCATCCCTCGCCCCCACTCCCTCGCCTCCCCATCCCTCACTCCCCCCGCCCTCGCCCCTCCCCCTAACTTCACTCCCCCCCCTCTCTCGCCCCTCCCTCGCCCCCTTCCTCTCTCGCCCCCCCCCCTCTCTGTCTCGCCCCTTTCCTCCGGCTTGCCCCCCCCTGCTCGATTCTTACAGCCACGCCTCTCACCTCCTCTCCCACCCCTTCTCACTCGCACTCGTCTCCCATCGTGGCGCTCCCTCGCTCCACCCCCAAGCCCTCGCTATCGCCAGGGCCGCCCAGAGGTCCCTGGAGGCGCGGGGTTCAATGCCACGTGGCGACCCCCCCCCCCCCACACCTAATTTATTCATTTGCAAAAAATAAAACAAACCACACAAATGGTTCATGGTGGGGCCCTCTTTTTATCAGAGGCCCGGGGATAATGACCTCTATCCCCCTTCCCACCTCTCAGCCCCCTTCTGGGCCGCCCTGGCTACAGCAATCCCTCCCTCCTACATCCCTCCATCAATCCTCACTTTCTTCTCTCCCTCCGTCACCCCCCCTCTCTCCTCACCCCCCCCCCCCCCCACCGCGACTTTTCTTCCTTCTCTCCCTTCTAAATCCCTCTGTCCTCCCCTTCTCTTATCCCCACCCCTCTCTCCCTTGCCGCCCTCCCCATCCCCCCCCCCCCTCTCCTCCCCGTCTGTTTTTCCCTTCTCTTATCCCTGCCTCTCTCTCTCTCCTCCCTGCCCATCTCTCCCTCCCTCTCTCCCCACCTCCCCCTCCTTCACCCCGTCTCTCCCTCCCTCGAGAGCCAAAACTCCGAACCCAAACCGTGACCGTGTGTCCTGGGACAACTTTATCTTCAGCAGTTGCTCTCTTTTCTCTCTCCCCCCTCACCCCAACTCTCTCTCTCTCTCATCTTTCTCTCTCGCTCGCTCTCCCACTTTTCGAATAAATCTTTCTCACGTTTTCGCAACAACAACAACAACAAAAGAACGAGACGCAGAGGATAAAAGGTGGTGGCCTCGTCAATTTCACGGCTGCGATAGCGACGGCGGCTGTGGGAGGGGGGGGGGGGTCGGCGCTCTGAGAAGTTGGCGCAGCTGCAGGTGAGCGAGTCGACCCGTGAGCGAGTGAGATCGAGAGAGAGAGCGAGTGAGATGGAAGCGTGGAGATGATGGATGTGGGGAGGAGAGGCGGAACCTGACCACCCCGGAATTCCGATTCCCTCTCACGCCAACACCGGTGACGACGATTTTCTCTGAACCATGGGGCGACTCGGCCTCCAAACGAGTACGATGTTGAAACATCGTCACTGTGAAGATAAAGGCGGCCGGGCGTGATGCTGGCCACCCACCCCCCCCCCCCCCTCTTGTGTGTCGTTCCGGCTTTCATAGTTGCTCGCGAGTAGCACTTGCTCCCAGCGGTTGGTTAAGGTTATACGGGGGATCTTTGTCTTTGTGAGTATGTATACGTGTGCGTGTGTGATGCTGTGTCGCTGATGTTGGCCGTGAACGGAATATCAGTGACGAATATCTGAAACGATGCCGGGTCTCGGCCTCCGAACGAGTACCTGGTGCGGTGTGTAAACATCGGGGAGACAAAGGCGGCTGAGCGTGGTGCTTGGCCACAGCTCTCCCCGCCGTGTGCTGTGTTCGCCTTTCATGGGTGCTCGTTAACAGCTCTTGCCCCGACAGCTTGTGAAGGCTATACGGGTGATCTTTGTCTTCACATGTTGTGTTTCTATTTGTCAGCGTGTGCGTGTGTGAGCGTCTTGTTTTTTTGCGACCGTGTGTCGTTACCTCTACGTGTTTGTCTGTGTGTGTCTCCGTGTGTCTGTCTGTGTGTGTGTCCGTGTGTCTGTCTGTGTGTCTGTGTGTCTGTCTGTGTGTGTGTCTGTGTGTGTGTCTGTGTGTGTGTCTGCCTGCGTGTGTGTCTGTGTGTGTGTCTGTGTGTGTGTCTGTGTGTGTGTCTGTGTGTCTGTCTGTGTGTGTGTCTGTGTGTGTGCCTGTGTGTCTGTCTGTGTGTGTGTCTGTGTCTCTGTGTGTGTGTGTCTGTGTGTCTGTCTGTGTATGTGTCTATGGGGAGCGGTAGTGTAGCGGTTAGCGCGCTGCGCTACGACCCTAAAGACCCGGGTTCGATTCCCGCTCACGACCAACACCAGTGACGACCATCTGAGCCGGTCTCTTGCCTCCCCTAAGTCGACTCGGCCTTAAATAAATGCCTGGTGGCAGCGTGTGGTCAACATCAGCACTGGGGCAAAGGCGACCGGGCGTGGTGGTGCTCGCAAACAGCACCCCCCCCCCCTACCCAACATCAGCTGAGTCTTTGCTTGACGTTGCTCGGATATTCTCTCGCGCTCATTTGCACGCGACGCCAGCGCGCGTGCAAATGAGACGAAGGCTCAATTAAAACTCGATCGTAGCCAGGTAATTTCCGAGCTTATTTACAGCCCCGCTTAATTAACGCGGCGCGTCGCTCGTGGTGAAACGCGCGCCGCCTTTCGCGCGTGGCCTCGGAAAAGGTGCGACGACGTATATCGAAGCGATATACAGGGTAGGTGGTGGTGGAGGCGAAGACTTAAGAGGCGACGGATAACGAGAGAGGACAAACGATGCTATCAGCGACGTAAGTGTGGGGTGGTGGGGGGGGCGACGCGAATTGGGTAGCGGCGTTAATACTAAAGTGACGACGTATTTGCGAAACGACTTAAACAAGGGGGGGGACGTAACTCGGGGTATTACTGTACTGCGCTTCCATGGTCCCCCCCAACGCACACTGACCAGCGTGGCGTGAAGCATGGTCAAGCCCCCCCCCCTACCGCGTGACCAACACTGCCACGGGAAAAATCCAGATTCGTCGAGACCAGACGGGAGTCGGGAGCCAAAATAATAAGAAGAGGCTCCTTTTTTTTTAGAATTCGGCCAAGAAAATCAAACGAACTCAACGTTTTAAGAGCCCGCAATGCAATGCGGTGAACACGAGACGGTGGTGGTGGCGAGTCTCTTGATAAAAAAAATACATAACGCCACGAAGCAGTCACTTAAAGAGCTCGCAATGCAATGCGGTGGTGGTGAGTCCCTTTAATAAATAAATAATGCCTCGATGCAGTCGCTTCAAGAGGTCGCAATGCAATGCGGCTCCGGAGCTCGCAGGTTGCCGACCCATCGTGATCCAGAAACACATTGACAATGGGGGCTGTCGTCAATTATTATAATTTTGATTGTTATGGCGGGCCGAATGGGCTTCATCCGCGTACAGAGACTCTCTTAGGTGGTGGAGTACGGGGGTTGGGGGGCGGTGTAGTCCGTGGTTCTGTTCTGGGTGGTGACGACCGTCTCCGCAGACTGCCCGGAGAGTTTTTGTTTGTCTGTATGTTGAACTTCTTCTTTGGTTCTTTCGGTAAAGTCACGTAGAATGATAATAAAATAATAAATTGATAAAATAAAATAACACAATAATATTCTCACGACGTTTCGGCCACAACACAAGCGGCCTTCATCAGGTGAAGGGGGCGAGACTGTCTGGTAGGACAGCGCTGGAGTGACAGTCTCGCCCCCTTCACCTGATGAAGGCCGCTTGTGTTGTGGCCGAAACGTCTTGAGAATATTATTGTGTTATTTTATTTTATCAATTTATTATTTTATTATCATTCTACGTGACTTTACCGAAAGAACCAAAGAAGATGAATCATTGCAGTCACGAAAGCTTTAAATCGAAATGTTGAACTTCCTTCGCGCCGTACGTAGCAGACCGTGGTAATCGGGGGTGTGGAGAAAAGACAGCAAACTAAACACAAAAAAAAACTGTTCGTTTGCTTTTACTTATTTTTTTAAACCCAAAAAGCAGTTCTAAAGACATGAGTTTGTCAATCTAAATGATTTCAAAGTGCACAGCTCCAGTGGCTTTCTAATATTGCAAGGAAAGAGCGTTCCAGACGGCCGCAGAAGCGCATCTGAAAGCGCGCGTTGTGGTGACCGTCTTTGTCCGATGGATAGCCATTTGCGAATCCACATCTTCGCCATCTGCATCATCATGACCATCAGCTGCTGCTGCTCTGGTTTACGTGCAGTGGAATTCCGTTCAGGGTTGTGGCCCCAGAAGCTTCGCGCAATATCGAAGCCAGTGCATATATTCGCAAAGGAGTTCCCTCTTGTCATCATTATTATTCTGACACTTGCTTACCCCCCCCCACCCCCAGCAAGGGTCTCGCTGAGTCCCATGACTTGTTCTTTAGGAGGGGCCTGCCAAATTGTCGCGATGGTTGCTATGTCTATCCCCAACCGAGTAATTTGCGGGACATTTCTTAAAATGGTACCACATTTTGCCTTCCTAACGCCGACGCGTGATGACCTTACTCTTGCGAATGATGTCACCGACTCGCGCTACCGCTGGGGTACGATCAGTGATGTCGATAAGTTCACGTAACATGGAGACCCACATACTGCCATAGAGACCCATCGACTCACGTGGGTACCCGCACTTATACAGAGACACACAGACTGACATGGGTGTTTATAGACTTACACTTCGAAATATCGACTCGCAAAGACATATACGCATACAAAGAGGCTCATACTCGCACGTAGACATCAATGGACTGGGAGCGTGGGAGGATCGGTGCGAGCGTGGGTGGGTGGCTGGGTGGCTGGGTAGGTGGGTGGCTGGGAGCGTGAGCGGGTGGCTGGGAGCGTGGGTAGGTGGGTGGGAGCGTGGGTCGATGGCTGGGAGCGTGGTTGGGTGGCTGGGCGGGTGTTTGGGTGGCTGAGAGGGTGGTTGGGTGGGTGGGTGGCTGGAAGGGTGGGTAGGTGGGTGCCTGGGAGCGTGGGTGGGTGGCTGGGAGCGTGGGTGGGTGGCTGGGGGGGTGTTTGGGTGGCTGGGAGGGTGGTGGGTGGCTGGGTAGGTGGGTGACTGGGAGCGTGGGTGGGTGGGTAGCTGGGAAGGTGACTGGGAGCGTGGGAGGGTGGGTGGGAGCGTGGGTGGGTGGCTGGGAGCGTGGGAGGGTGGGTGGGAGCGTGGGTGGGTGGCTGGGAGCGTGGGTGGCTGGGTGGCTGGGTAGGTGGGTGGCAGCGTGGGTGGGTGGCTGGGAGCGTGGGTGGGTGGCTAGGAGGGTGGCTGAGAGTGTGGGAGGGTGGGTGGGAGCGTGGGTTGATGGCTGGAAGGGTGGTTGGGTGGCTGGAAGGGTAGTTGGGTGGCTGGGTGGGTGGGTGGCTGAGAGAGTGGTTGGGTGGTTGGGTGGGTGGGTGGCTGGGAGCGTGGGTGGCTGGGAGCGTGGGTGGGTGAGCGAGAGGGTGGGTGGTTGGGTAGCTGGAAGGGAGGGAGGGTTACGGTAGGGGCACCGGTCTAAATTGTTCATTGGCTGTGTGGGAGATTGGCCGCATCTGCTACGCGATGTTGACTGATACCCCACTGAATAATAAAGCATTCACCTGACCCGTATAAATATCTAGAGATCGCTTCTCCTCAAACCCGTAGCCCCACCCCGCCTGCGCCGCGCCCCCCTGCGCCCCCAGCCCCCCACACGTTCATTATGAACGAGGCGAAGGGTTCCAAGTTGAATTTTTCATTCGGCGGTCACATTGCACCGGCCAGGCCACGGCGCCGCTCTCTCCGTCTTTTGGAGAGAGTGCAGCCGCGCATTGCAATGGGGGCTGATAGCGCGGGCAGCAACACTAAATAAATAAATAAACCCGCCTCGTTCAAAGCTGTCGCGAAGAATACCCGGGCTCGGGTTAACACGCGGCTGGCACGGCGAGTGCGGGTTGGTGGAGGAGTGGGTTGGTGGAGGAGTGGGTGGGTGGGTGGGTCGGTGGGTGGGTGGGTGTGTGGGTGTGTGGGTAGGTTGGTGGGTGTGTGGGTGGGGGGGGGGGTCGGTGAGTGGGTCGGTGGGTGGGTGGGTATGTGGGTGGGTCGGTGGGTGGGTGGGTGTGTGGGTGGGTCGGTGGGTGTGTGGGTAGGTTTGTGGGTGCGTGGGTGGGTCGGTGGGTGTGTGGGTAGGTCGGTGGGTGTGTGGGTAGGTTTGTGGGTGCGTGGGTGGGTCGGTGGGTGTGTGGGTAGGTTGGTGGGTGTGTGGGTGGGTCGGTGGGTGTGTGGGTACGTTGGTGGGTGTGTGGGTGAGGGGGTCGGTGGGTGGGTCGGTGGGTGGGTGATCAGCCGGCACCCCACGCCCGACCGCCTTTGTCTCCAACAATGCCGGTGTTCACGTACTCGTTTAAAGGCCGAGCCGATCTATGGCAGGGCGAGTCTGGGGGCAATGAGTAAACCGACTCAAGTGTTGTTACCACGACCTTTGGCCGTGGTCGGGAATCGAATATGGGACGCCGGGTGCAATAGCGCACTGCGTTAACCACTGCACCACCGCTCCCCATGAAACGTCCCCCTCCCCCATATACATTTATAATAGGGGCCCCACGGTGGCAAGATGTTAACGACATTGCCTGGTATACAGGAGGTCATGGGTTCGATCCTGATCTGACGGTACCTGCTGTGCATTTCGAGATTGCGTGGTTCTTTCCCCGTGGTCGCGTGGATTTTTCTCCGGGTCCTCTGATTTTTTTCCCCTCCACATTTAGAGTCAACTTGCGTTTAGAGTATTTGGCTCCTGTTCTATATTTCCACAGGATGATGATGACAATAGGCCACTTCGTTGAGCTATCACGTGTGATCGCCAGGTCGCTTCTGAAAAAAAAGAGCTCTATTGCTCAGTGCGCCTTACCTGGCAAAATAAAAAATAGTTTAGTTGTATATTTGGGATGGGGGTGGTTAATTGTTTTCATCCCTGGTTGCCGAATGCAGATGGATAAAGAAGTTCGGGTCCCGTACAACAACGGCGCGTGGCTTTGGCTAAAAACGAAGCGAGGACCGATGATGCTCACCGGTTCATCAACACTCATCCCGGCATCACGCTGCGCCAACTGCTAGCCCCCTAATGCTGAAGAAGCCGCGCGCTGAGTGAACTGCGAATAACGAGGCCGGGCGAGAGCCTTGCAAATCGAACACAACAAAGATAACGATCCCGCCCGCATAGCCTTCAACAGACTGTTGGGGCAAGGGCTGTTGCAGGCGAGTAGCAGCGACACTGCAAAAAAAAGGCAAAAACCCCCCGTATAGCCTTAACAGACTGTAGGGGCAAGTGCTGTTAGCGAGCACCTATAAAGGCCGGCACGGCACACGAGGGGGTGGGTGGCCAACACCTCGCCCGGCCGCCTTTATCTCCCCAGTGGCGATGTTTACACATCGCACCGGGTACTCATTTGAGGCTGAGTCGACCTAGTGGAGGCCCAGGGCCGGTTAAAATGATCGTCACAAATGATCGTCACAAATGATCGTCAGTGGTGTTGGCCGTGAGGGGGAATCGAACCCGGGACCGCCAGGTTCATAGCGCAGCGCTTCTAACCGCTACACCACCGCTCCCCCCACAGACACTGACACACACACTTACACTGACACTGACACACACACACTTACACTGACACTGACACACACACTGACACATACACACACTTACTTACACTGACACACACACACTGACACACACACACTGACACACACACACTGACACATGCACTGACACACACACACTGACACATGCACTGACACACACACACTGACACATGCACACTGACACATGCACACTGACACATGCACACTGACACATGCACACTGACACAAAGATCCCCCATATAGCCTTAACAGACTGTAGGGGCAAGTGCTGTTAGCGAGCACCTATGAAGGCCGGAACGGTACACGAGGGGGTGGGTGGCCAGCACCACGCCCGACCGCCTTTGTCTCCCCAAGGGCGATGTTAACACACCCCACCAGGTACTCATTTGAGGCTGAGTCGACCTAGGGGAGGCCCAGGACCGGTTCAGATAATCGTCACTGGTGTTGGCCGTGAGCGGGAATCGAACCCGGGTCGCCAGGTTCGTAGCGCAGCATGCTAACTGCTACACCACCGCTCCCCACACACACACACACTGACACACACACACTGACACACACACACTGACACATACACTGACACACACTGACACACACACTGACACACACACACTGACACACGCGCGAGGGGGCGAGTGGATAGCACCACGCCTTGCAGAGTGATGAGGCCGAGTCAACGGAGGTTGGTGAGGGCTCAATGGACCTGGTTCAGCTATTCGGGAGCGGCCGGCTAACCGCTACAAAGATCCCCCGTGTAGTCCTCACAGACTGTGGGGACAAGCGCTGTTGGCGAGCGCCTAATAAAGGCCATAACGGCACACAATATTAGATAACATGAAGAAAACTCACAAGCTTGGCAATGCATTATTACATAAAAACACATTACTTCAAAGTGCTCTGAGTAGGGGATGATCGTGAGTAGAAAATTACAATGACATCCGTCTGTTATTTTCCGTCGCAGAACAACGGGGACCTTACTCGTTATTTGTGACATATGTTTCTTTCATCTCGTGTGCGGGGCGCGTGGGAAGCGGTGACGCAGTGGTTAGCGCTCTTCCCTAAGAACTCCACCCAAGCGCTGGTGGGGTAGATGGGTGGTGGTGGTGGGTGGTGGTGGGTGGTGGGTGGTGGTGGTTGGGTGGTGGTGGGTGGTGGGGAGTGAATCGTTCCTAAGTCCATATTTCTATTTGATCGGAAGTTTGATGGATTTTGAGTGTCGGGGTGTGGACAGGATAATTACTCCGTCTGGGGCGGAGTGGTGGCGGAGTGGGGAGTGCTGCGACAACAGCGACCGATCTGAGTGGCGAGTGACGTCCGGACCGTTTTCGGGGCCAACACCTAGGTCGACTCGGCCTTAAATTAATCACCTGGCGTTGTGTGCAAAGACGATCATCAGCGCTCCCAGAGACGATGCTGACCACACCACAACGACCCCCTCCGTGACCGTGTTGGCTTTGGTAGGTGCTCGCTAACGGCACTTGCCCCAACAGACTCTGTAGTAGGCTACCTGGGTATCTTTGTCTTGTGTGCAATGTGAGTGTAACAACGATTAACCCCCGGCAGTCCCATTGGCACGCTACGCGGGTAGTATCATTATTATTCATCTTGTTGACTCAGGAAAGCCTCGACGAGTCTCATGACTCTTTGTCATGAGGGTCTTGCAACGTTTGTTCAGTCGGGGGGCTACGCTTGCTGTCCGTATTGCGGTCATCGAGTGAGGAAAATTCGGACGTAGGCGCGCGATGGCCTACTCCTGCCAATGACTTCGAGGGGCATCTTTTAACGTGGAACTGTGAAGCAGACGTCCGATGTTATTTTTTGTATAGTTTTTTTACGGTTCGTACACAACCGAAGTCATAACCAGGAAGGGAGGCAGCCGCTGGATTCGAACCGTGAACATCTCGCAGCGAGGGGAGGAACGCGCTTACCGCTGGGGTCTCGTCACCGCCCCCGGGATGACCCTTTTGGGTTATTGTATCTTCGCAGGTTGAAAAAAGGAAACCCCACGAGTGACGGCACCTCCCGATCAACACGGTGTCCGGCTACCTACGGTGCGAAAGAAACTCCTACATACACACACACATACCGCACACGTACAACTCAAAATGCAGTCGCCTCCGCCGGCGAGGGGAGACACCGCAGCCCCCACGCGCCCCTCGGTGGGCCCCGCTCCCTGGGGGCTCTTCATGAGGAAGAGCAACTCGGCCACCGGAGTCAGGGCCCCCAAACAGCGACCCCTCACCTACTCCTTCGAGGGCCCCGGGCCATCTCTCGCGGCGACGGCGGGCTCGGCCGATGCCGCGGGCTCGTCGGTGAGCGGCGAGGGGGACACTTCGAAGGCGGCGGCGGCAGAAGAGGAGGAGGAGGAGGACGCGATCCGGGGCAGTGTGAGACAGCGCGCGTCCATCTTCGGTCACGTCGTGGGCAAGCGGCTGTCCTGCGTCTACGATCGGAGCAGAGCGGACAGTTCGGAGGGCTCGTGGCAAAGTCGCACTTTCTCGCCGCCGCCGCCGCCGCTAGCGCCGCTCTCGGGCCACGAGCCCGCCCCACAGAAGGAGAGCTCGGGGGCGGTGAGGCCCTGGGAGAAGTTCAGAGTCGGAGGTTGTTCGAGTGGTGGCGGTGGTGGCGTCGGGACATTCAGAGCGACGATGGTGACGGCTGGAGGTGACGCGCGCGACGTGGCCGTGCCCGCATGGCGCCATGATGGAGGGAGCCACGCGTCCAGAATCCCATTTCCATCACCGTCATCATCATCATCGGCATCATCATCAGCAGCAGCAGCAACTGCACCATCGTCAATATCAACAGCAGCATCGGCACCACCATCGTCATCATCATCAGCAGCAGCAACAACAACAGCATCGGCAACAACTCCCGTCGTGGCCGTGGGAAGATACCTGGATCTGGACGGATGGAACAGACCGCATGGAGACCCAGCCCAGCCAAGTGGTCTGGATGACCAGGCCCTTTCGGTAAGTGTGTGCGTGTGTGTGCGTGTGTTCGGAACGGTTGTGCAGTGGTTAGCGTGCTGCGATGCGAACCCGGCGACCCGAGTTCGATTCCCACGTGCGTGGGTGTGGCTACACACACGGGACGTGCGTGGGTGAGGCTACACACGTGATAACGTGTGTGAGCCCAGTGTGTGTGTGTGAGGTTACACACGAGCAACGTGTGTGAGGCCCGTGTGTGTGTGTGAGGTTACACACGAGGAACGTGTGTGTGTGTGTGAGGTTACACACGGGCAACGTGTGTGTGTGTGTGAGGCTTTTCACGGACAACGTGTGTGTGTGTGAGGCTACACACGGGCAACGTGTGTGTGTGTGAGGTTACACACGAGGAACGTGTGTGTGTGTGAGGCTACACACGGGCAACGTGTGTGTGTGTGAGGCTACACACGGGCAACGTGTGTGTGTGTGTGAGAAGGGAATGGCAGTTTTATTTGAGGATTGTCGACGTGTTCCTTTTTTCCTCGCTGCAAATATATAAATATATATTCTTCAACACGAAAAAAGAAGTTACTTTCTGCCGACAATCAAGTGCAAATTTTCATTTAAAAAAAAACCAGACCATCATCCGTTTGAGAGCGGTTTTCAGACTGGCTATGTCAGTGAGGCCCTCAGTGGTTATTTATTTATCTCTCTCGCTCTCTCTCAAGCGCGATGGAACAGCTCTGTGGAGCAGTTGATGATGAGTTAGTTATATAACTGCGTACTTCGCTCGCTCGTCGGTTGCAAGTCTTCAACCGCGCAGACCGACGCGTGACTTCGCTACGATCTCTCCGGATGGAACCTCTCACGTTCGTGGCGTCGTCATCATTTGTGGTGGAGAGGAGGAGATATGGGCGGCAAATGTGTGAGGCCTTGAGAAGAAAGGCGGTGTGGTTGAATCTGAACGTATGGGATGGAGGGGTGGTGGGAGGGAGGGAGGGAGTAATGGATGGTGGGAGGGATGGTGGGAGGGAGGGAGAGATGGAAGGATGGTGGGAGAGATGGAAGGATGGTGGGAGGGACGGTGGGAGGTAGGGAGGGAGGGACGGTGCGAGGTAGGGAGGGATGGAGGGACGGTGGGAGGGAGGGAAGGATGGTGGGAGGGATGGTGGGAGGGAGGGAGAGATGGAAGGATGGTGGGAGGGAGGGAGGAATAGTGGGAGGGAGGGAGACGGAAAGTGGGACAGTGTGGGAGGAAGATGAGGAGAGACGAGGCAGAGAGTGAAGCAAAGATCAGGGAGGGTCGGCAACCACAATAACAAGAAGAGACATTTGTTTTTTTAAATACGGTAAAATAAAACCTCAATATTTCACGAGCGGCAATGCATGTTTATAATGTCACGAAACAGTCCTTACTTTGCAGCATGCGTGGCTGCGGAAACGCATGCTGCCGAACTCCATGGTTTAAAAGGATAATGTGATGATGATGATGATGGCGGGAAGAAGGGAAAATAGGGAGGGGAAAATAGGGAGGTTGTTGTCGTGGAGTGAGAGGAGGGAGGGAGTATAGAGTGGTAGATGATGATTATGATGATGGAGAGAAAAAGGGAGTGAGCATGGGAGGGGAGCGGGAGAGTTGGGGGAGGGAGAGTGGAGCAGAGGGAGGGCAAGGGAGGGAAGGAGGGAGGTAGGTAAGGAGAGAAGAGATGCTGTGATGATGGAAGTAAGAAGGAACAAAGAGGCAGCATGACTGGGAGGGCAGACAGGGAGGGAGGGAGGAGGGCGCGCTGTGGGATACGAGCAGTGTGTGTGTCCTTGGGTCAACGCGCTCTCCTGAATAATGGACGACATCCACGCAACTCATGGAAAAATACAACACTCGCTGTGCCCCCACCCACCCACCCCCGATCATCTGCTGTGGCACAAACACGGACTTGGGAGAACAGCAACAACAACAAATCACAAAACAACAAACATGTCATGCACCAGTTCAACACGAAACCCAGCGGCGGCTGGGACTTTGGTTCGATTCCTGGCCGCGACGGCGATAAAGGCCACGTGGTTTCACTAATTGAAAACTCATTTATTTTTTAAACTGCTTGTTTGGTGTGTGTGTGGAGTTTGTCGTCTTTCCCCCGTCTTCTTTCCCCCGCAACCTCCGATTAACACGGTTGGCTCCGTACGGTGCGACAGAGGTTCAGCATACGTGCACGCGAACCCGCGCGGTGAAGTATGCTCCGACAACCTCCGCGATTCAACACGCTCCTTCCTCCACCATTGTGATTGACAAACGGCCGTAACACATGGGGTTTTCCTTCTCCATCTCTCTGTGTGTTGTTATTATCATCATCAATCATAGTATAGCCGAACTAGGTACGACTCAGCGACAGGCTCGTCCATAAGGGGGAGGTGACAGGCCCCCCGTTACGTTGAAGCGCAGAAACTCCCCCACCCCCAAAGCGCGGGGCACGGGGCGGACGATCCGATTCGCCGCGTACCCTAGGGACGGTAGAGTAAGCGGCTCGCAATCGGAAGGTTGCGAGTTCAAATCCTGATCCGGGTGGGGTTGACTCAGCGGCAGGTCAATAAAATAGGTACCACGTTATTGGGAAATCAACAGCTGCTGTCCTCTGTATAGACTCGGCCCCCCGCCATAGGAATGTGGAATTTCCACCGCTGTCTCTGTGGCCTCGATGCTGCCGATGTGAGCAGGATACGTGATGATTTCTTTTGTTACGTTACTTACCCGATGATCTTACGTCTGAATACTTACTAATGAGGCTCGCCCAGCGATCCGCATCACGAGTAGCCTCATCAATAAGTAACGACCCAATTTGCATAACAATGTGGGCTAATTTACCAATGGAATCCGCTGCTACTGCTGCCCATGTAATTCACCCCCCTCCACCTCTCCCTCCCACCCCGCGCCCCCTCCACCTCCCACCCCCATCTCCCCCCCCCCCGCCTCCCGCGCCCCCTCCAAGTTGCAATTATTCGGTCTCAAATCTACGGAATTGAAAGTAAAAAAAAAATCGGTGGGTCGGTGAGGAGAGGAGGGAGGGGAAGGAGGGGGAGGGGTGGGGTAAGGGGAGGGGGCTTAGGACCGGTTCAGATATCACTCGCCACAGGTGATAACCGTGGCTGGGAAACGTCCTCGCGGCCGCCTTTGTCTCCCCAGTGCTTGTATATTTACACACCGCACCAGGTGCTGTAATGTATGTGGAACTTCTTTCGCACCGCACGTCGCCAATCGTGCTAATCGAGGTGACGGAGGGGCGAGGGAGAATCTGACCCGGGAATCTGACCCGAGAATCTAATCCGGGAATCTAACCCGAGAATCTAACCCGAGAATCTAATCCGGGAATATAACCCGAGAATCTGACCCGAGAATCTAACCCGAGAATCTAACCCGGGAATCTAACCCGAGAATCTAATCCGGGAATCTAACCCGGGTATCTGACCCGAGAATCTAGCCCGGGAATCTGACCCGAGAATCTAACCCTAGAATCTAACCCGAGAATCTAACCCGAGAATCTAATCTGGAAATCTAACCCGGGAATCTGATCCGAGAATCTAACCCAAGAATCTAACCCAAGAATCTAACCCGGGAATCGGACCCGGGAATCTAACCCGAGAATGTAACCCAAGAATCTAACCCGAGAATCTGACCCGACAATCTAACCCGACAATCGGACCCGGGAATCTAACCGGAGAATCTAACCCGAGAATGTAACCCTAGAATCTAACCCGAGAATCTAACCCTAGAATCTAACCCGAGAATCTGACCCGACAATCTAACCCGACAATCGGACCCGGGAATCTAACCGGAGAATCTAACCCGAGAATGTAACCCTAGAATCTAACCCGAGAATCTAACCCTAGAATCTAACCCGAGAATCTGACCCGACAATCTAACCAGACAATCGGACCCGGGAATCTAACCGGAGAATCTAACCCGAGAATGTAACCCTAGAATCTAACCCGAGAATCTAACCCTAGAATCTAACCCGAGAATCTGACCCGACAATCTAACCCGACAATCGGACCCGGGAATCTAACCGGAGAATCTAACCCGAGAATGTAACCCTAGAATCTAACCCGAGAATCTGACCCTAGAATCTAACCCGAGAATCTAACCCGAGAATCTGACCCGACAATCTAACGCGAGTGCGATGGGTTCATGGCGCAGCGCACGAACCGCTGCGTAAAATAACCCCCCGCCGCCTCCCGCCCAGCATCCCCACCCATCTCCAAACCCCAATAAGAAAAGAACCCACGTGTGTTTGTCTTAAGATCTCATCCATCCATCTCTGCTAGTGTCTCATTCAGTTTCGGAATCCCATCAATCCTCCCGCACGCTGACTCCACACCATATCACTCCCCTTCATCGAAGCCAATGGAATTATTTCCCCCTCCCCGGCCCAACCCACGATCCTCTCGCCCTGCATGCACCAAATCGCCCGGAATGCAACGTGCCCCGCCAGAAGCTAAGCTGGCGTTGGGCCTGGGCCGTGCTTTAACGTGAGAGCAAACCGCCTTGAAATAGCAGGCGGTGTCGTAGGTATGATGCAGCCCATGTAGCCCGGAAATGGTAGAATTATTATTCATATCATTTTTATATCGATGCATTATTGCATCTATGTATGTATGTACGTTGAACTTCTTTCGCACCGTACATAGCCAACCGTGCTCATCCGAGGTGTGCGGGGGAAGGACGACAAACGATACACGTAAAAGGTAAAGGATTCTTGAGTCGATCTGTGCGAAGGTTTGAATGTCTCCCGTTTGTATGCTTTGTTGGTATTCTCCGGGCCTCTCCGATTTCCTCCCGCAAGAAGTCAAAACTCTCGTTCGTAGAATTGGCCAAATTTTACCACCCAATGTAGCAGGAATACCCCCCACCCCTCCCCCCGCGAAAATATTCTCGAGACTCGGTGAGGCTTTCCTGCCACGGTGGCGAGATGTTTCCCGCCTCGCCCGGTATACAGGAGATCGTGGATTCGATCCCGACCCTGACACTTGTTGTATATTTGGAGTTTTGCATG